CGTTACCACAACCTCAAAAACTCTTTATTGCCTTCTGATCTGATTGCCAAGATAAATCCATCCTTGTATCATTCTCGTTCACATCTTCGCCGCACAGGTCACCAAGGATGAAATGTATGGTGAAAGAGATGTGCGCTGCCAACTTATATAACAGACGCTGGTCCCATCCCGCCGAATCAAACCTGCAACTTGGACAGTACCCCTTTCGCACGATGTCTCCTTGAGTGTGAATCTTATGAACGTTGCAGAGATCCGCCGAATTCTTTGCACCCAGGAAGTTCTATCCTGCTCCATAATGGTGACTTCGAAGCGGCGGATATTCTAAACGTAATTTCCAACCAGTATGTCGAGCCAGTACCGTATGATCCCTAAACGCTTCCCGAAGCCAGTCAAATAGTTTCAGGAATTCAAATGTAAGAGCAGTACTGTTGATGTCTCCGATATCTCCATCAGTGTGGCATCCTAAGGGAAGCAAGCGAGACTCCAAGAGTATTCACTATCGTGGCTGAGAATGTTGACACTGCAACAACAAGAGGAATCTGATCAGCTAGGAGAGAAGTGGTAGGCTGCTCTCGGGAAGGAGCAGAGCCAAGGAGGACCCGGCTACCAGTATATCATCTGGCCTAACAACATGGCGGAGCTCGGTATTATAGCTCCCATGCATACCTAAGTCATTTGTCCTGTTGTTAAGCCATCCTGGTAGGTGGCTCCTTGCGCAATGGATCTTGCATCGGTAGGCTATGCTCATCAAAGACTGGCGACATTGCTATCGCCTCAGACCCAGGCCCGGTCCGAGGATACTGCCGAGTGTAGCACCTTCATTGTCGTCATTTACTGTGTATGCTGAACCATTGCTTATCATACACCACTCTGAGGACCTTGAGGCAGGCGGCCTTGGCTTCCTGCCACGGCTCGGCGGCTCTGTGTCTTCCTAGCCTCTTCTCAAGTTCGTGGCTCTCCATCTCGCGGGCCTCCTGAATCCACGAATGAAGCCTGATCTCCCGGACAAACGTTGACAGAGAAGTTTCTTGGGGGATATCGTCCCGGAGCGCTGCCCAGCGGTTCCACGCTCCGTCACTTATCAGACGCTTGATTAGGGCGCTTGGGTCTGCGAGGTCTGACTCTGCCAACCGGGCGTGGTTGAAGAGTTCTTGCGTCGCATATGAGAGTAGTGCCGGATAGCCTTTGACCTTATCAGAGGTCAAAGGGACTGAGGACTGTGAGTAGGATAACTCTGTTGACCCGTCGACCGAGGAGCATTGTGCCATCGCGATCCATTTGGCGCTAATGCTGAAAGATTCAACAGGTTGTTCATCTGCAGATAGGTAGATGGGCCTGTGCTCCGCGTCCTCATCCCGGAAGCCTCGTATCGTGTCTTCGATTGGATGAGCCTCCGGTTGGGCCGGCAAATGTTCCCTGCTCTGCAACTTCAAAGATTGGCTCATATCTAGAGCGAGGAGCGAGTAAGGGGTATCTGGCTGCGTCGAGGGCCAGGAAGAAGAATAACTGTCTCCAGTGTCCGAATAAGTAGCAAGCAACATGTCTTCTCTTTTCCGAGTCTCGTTTTGATCGGACCACTTGTGTCCATCCATGAGGGCATCCATCTCACTCATCTCTATATAGTCGAGGCAGCTGGACATGATGGATAGATGGCCGTTGCCGACGGAACTAGGCCCGACGCTCGGATCCAAGTTCATGAAGCCGTCTCCATATAAGAAGAACTGGCGGACGGATTCGTGTATCACCTGGACGGTTCGGCTCTCTTCCTGCTCTAGATCTAAGGAGCCCGCCCTAGCGTGAATGGAAACACTATCAAAAGCGTTGCTTCCAGCTTTGGTCACTTCGAGTAAACCTTTCGACATACTTTTAATTCGACTCTGTAATTGTTCGACGTCACACGTGAAGTAATCCGATTTGCGCCACTCTGGCAAGGACTGCAGCCATGGCGTTCTGGTGATTGCTAATATCTGACGCCATTCGTCGAGACAAAGAGGTTTGGTTGCGAGGGTGGCCCACTGGAACAGTCGCAGGGTCACCTGCTTCTCTGCTGGGCTCAGTGACTCGAGCATCCGTGAATAAAAGGCCTGGAGAGAACTAGGGGCGTCATCGACCTGCTCCAATAGGTAATGTGTGTTTTTTCCATCGTCCCAGCTGTTCAGTACCTCGTCAACCACGAGGGTAACCCACAGAAACACCCCGTTGGCCTTTTCCACGATTGCCTTTCTCAACACCTTCCGGTTTTTCGGTCTTGCAAGGCCGCCAAGCTTGAAACGACGCTCTATATAAGCGCAAATATCGAGTTCGTTGTGGGTTTCGACAGTTATCTGTGGACAGTTGATGACCGCAATAGACTGAAAGTGTCTACTGGAAAAACAAACGCTCAGATGTGGAGTCGAGTGTGTCAGCTGTCGCCAAAAGTAGGCTTGGAGGCGGACCTTTTCCTGGTCGCACTCGTCCAGGGCGTCTATGAAGATGATGATTCGACGCGGAGACTGACGCCGCCTCGCTGTATTGTTCTGGAAGAAGAACCGCAGTTCATGTTCGGACCACCTCACAGTGCTTGCCGCAGTATCCTCCATGTGGCAAAGCTTTTGCCTCCACAGCTTGGCAAAATCGAGGAGCAAGTCTCTGTTCTCTTGGGCAAGCTGATGTAGCAAAGATCTGAAAAGACCCTGGGGGGAATGCTCCATTTCGCTGCCTTTCGCGTTGAAGAAGAATGCGGCAGTCGAGTGGTTGAGATGAGTCTGGGCGACGATCGATCGGCGGAACGCCTCTTTCATCAACACCGACTTACCGGTCCCGGGATTCCCTTTCAACCAGAGTAACCCCTCGTGTGCATAGCGGTTCTCGTTGTGGAACCAGTCTTGATAAGTTTTGTGTTTGAAAAGCCAGGAGCAGGACCCTTCGCTGGGATATTCAATGTTCTGTCTGTGCATGTACATGTTCGGATACCACAAACTCTGAAGGCACAACCTCTCATCGCCGATGGTTTGATCGGTTTGGTCTCCTCTGAATGGCTCGAACTTCGAGCCGGTGCTGAAGGCTGGAGGGCTCGTCGCGTTGCGTTGTATACAACCTCTTCGATGAACATTTTGCGTGTTGAGACGCTTCAGTGAAGCATACACCGAACGAATCTCCGCGACAACTTTACGATAGCTGGGATCATTACTCCCGGTGAACCGACACATCTCCTCGTGGTTTGCCTGGAGCGTCTCGGCACGCTCACGAGGGTCTCCAATCAGCGAAGAGACGTCTGGCACCACCTTGTTCCCAGGAATGCCGATTCTGATGCCCGCAAAGTCCAGGCCTTCCTGGAAAGTCTTGACGCGGAAGTCGTGCTTATACCATAATTTCGAAAAGGTTTCTCTGGCACGCTCAAGATAGCCGGTCTTCAGCCCGAGGGCATCAAGGGTAAATTCGCCGAGGGATGCAAGCTCTGGGCTTCCGCGATGTGGCGTGCCCAAGAAGATGACTGAAGCTGTAGATTCGACGACGTTGTTGAGGTCCTTTTCGGCAGATTCCGATGACCGTGCCAGCATCTACTCAAAAGTCATACGATTAGCGAAAGTGTCTATCCAAGGTTGCACCTCTGACCTACCTCCTTCACGACAATCCCACCGAGACTGTGCGCAACGAAAATCAAGGGGCGATCGACACATCGCTCTCTGCAGAGAGAGTACAAAAGCTCCCTGCTGTGCGAGACAAGTGAGCTTTTGTTAGACTGGCCCGCCGTGTATTTCGTGATCTCCGAGTCGTAGCCAAACATGAGAACTCGAGAGTCCCGACATTCCCGAGGCAGCAGGTCGGCGGGCCAGAAAACACAAGCAGGGCTACCATCAATCGCTTCGGGCGCTCTTTCGAGGGACAGATGGCTCCCGGACCTCAGGGGTGCCGAGGAGGATCGCTTCGAGTAAGTGCTGCTCAGCCCAGAAAACATGCGCTGCAGGGCCTCTCGCCCACGGTCGTTACTGTCAGGCGAGGCCTCGGGCAGGAGCAGCGACGAGGACTCCGAGTCTGGCACGCGTGGCTCGGCGCTATTCCATGATCTGTACGGATGTCCGTGCAGGCCATGCACGAGGACGATGCTAGAGGGGAAGCAGGCTCGCATTAATGCTCCAGTCCCGGTGACGGTGGGGGTTGCACTCACTCGGCGACTGGCGACCCATGCTCGGGCTCGTAGACCACGGATATCCCTGTGGCAGCGATGTGATATCTCATTTCTTCGAACTATGCTGCATTGTCCTAGTTCTTTCTGTTTAGTTCTTGGTGGTGGGCGGCGGCGGTCAACAAGCGGTGATGGGCTGGGTGGCAATCTATTCTGCTTTGGTGCCCAACAATAAAGTTGACATAATCATATGTGATTGGATCTTGGTAGACAGACCCGTTCCTTTGTTGAATCCGGCCAATGGTGAATGGCTACTTGGGCACTGCGAGCAGGGATTTGCGGATTTGTTGGATTTCATTGGGTGGGCTGTGTTCAAATGCTCGTCTGACCAAATTTATATCTCTCAAAAGCGAAATATCCAGCAATCCTGCCGTGACTCTTGCGCTTATTTACATGCGGGGAACTAAAATCAAATGAATTTAAATAAACCGAGCTGATCTTTACCCCTCATTTACAAATATCCGAGAGGCTTTTTTCTCTCACTAATATGTCCCTCTTTCAACCAATGTGCGTCTTACACAACTGACTACATTAATTTAAGTAAGATCAATCTGCTCTTTATTAATAGGATTGCACACATTAATGTGGCCCACCTAAATGGAGAATTAATACAGAAAAAAGAGATGCATCGACTTTGAGGTTGAGCAGGATAGATCTGGGTAGCACTTTCCTAAATTCTTCTGGCAAGTGAAAATAAAAGTACAAAGATGTAGGATAAAAGGTTGCAATGAAGCATGTATATCGTAAGCATTATGCACCGTTCCTCGATGAGCGATTCGATGGTGTATACATCTAAGTCAGGCCAACGCTTAGTCTACGTAGAGAAATGGGTGACTCAAGCCGCTCCCACCGCAATCTCTTTCCTTGATTCCTTCAGTTTATTCCCTACTTTGGCCAAACGCTCCTCCATCTGCTCCTTGGGCGACTTAAGCTCAATCGGTGGGAAGCGAGGATCTCCTTGAAACGGCATGAAGTCACTGCCGCCAACGAGCCAGCGCAGCACGACCCTCTCATACTTGCTGACAATGTCTGCATACTCTGGTACCTCTGCAAGGTTATGCATTTCGGCCAAATCCTTGTGACGATCATAAAGCTCAGCAGGCTCATATAGTCGATAGACGTAGTAATAATCCTCATCGCGAAGAGAGATTGCTTTGCCCACGAGCGTCGTATCCTCGTGCTGGAGGGCCGTCTTGATGTCGTATGGATAAGGAGCTTGTTCAAGCAGAGGTTCTTCTGAGAGTAAGAAGCCACCTTCTGAAAATGCATAGTCCTTGTGTTTAGTCTCGCCTCCGATGAGCAACGGGACCCATGATTTGCCGTTATGCATGAATGTCTCGGCGATGCCTGAGAGCTCAAACACAGTAGGTACAAGATCGACCATTTCTGTCATTGCACTGATCGTGTTACCCTCTGGCAAGCCTGCACCGCCGACGATCAGTGGTTCATGAACAATGGTCTCCCCAAGGCCTGACGGCCACTTCTCGATCATACCATGATCGCCGAGATATTCCCCATGATCTGTAAAGAACATCGTCACCGTATCCTCCCATAGACCAAGTTCGTCTACTTTGTTCAAAATCCTGCCGAATTGATCATCGAGTCGAGTGATCATGCCGTAATATGTCGCCTTGATCTCCTTCCAGACCTCATCTGTTGCACGCTCGGTCCTATACCGATCGCGATTCGCCTTCATATATTTCGGCTCGTAACCTGTCTTGTGCTCATGTCTACTCACCACCTCCTTCATTGACTTGCGGTCGTACATAGAGAAGTAAGGCTCTTCTACCTGGAAAGGGCAGTGAGGGAAGACAAGTGGGAGGAAAAGAACCCAAGGTTTGTCATCCGGTGGGCAGTCTAGCCACCGGATTGCCGATCGAACAGCAGCCTCGTCATAATCGAGGATCTTATTCACATCGCGAAGTCCCCTGTAAAATAGACGCGACCAGATATCCTCCTTGGGCTCCGTTGGAGACCCGAACTTGCCTGCAAATCCAGGCATATAGTCGGGCGTCTCAAGAAAACCATACTCGTTGAGGCTGAGCTCCGTTACCGTGGGAGCAAAGGTATCACCACGAGGAGCAAGACATGCGACGTGGTAGCCGTCCTCCTTCATACTGCGAAAAAGGTTCCCTTCCCAGGGCTTTATAAGGTTATTCATGCTGCGGTGGCCGCTAACATGAGGATAGCACCCGGTAAACATGCTACACCTGGACTGTGAACAAGTAGATGCCTGAGTGAAGCAATTGGTAAAGAGCGTGCTGCGGCGACGAAAGGCGTCGATATTTGGCGTTCTGACCTGGGCCGTCCCGTCCGGGGCTGTGCATCCGAGAGAGTCATACCTGAGTTGATCAGGCATGAAGATGATGTAGTTGGGACGGGAACCACCATTCTTGGAGTTGACCTTGATAGGAATGGGCTTAGCGACAGGCTGATACTTGGACATGGCGGCGGTTGAAGCGAACGATGTCTAGAGTTCAGTTGAGCAATGAAATCAAGTCAAGGGAGGCCTCGCCACCAAAATTATGGCACTACAAGTTTGTGCGGGGAAACACTTGAGCGATTCGCTTCCAGTAGGATATATACGAGTTAACTAAGACCAATACCCGTACGCATCGGCCGCTATCCGGGCGTCTACTCACCGGCAATCCCCCGATATATCGGGTATGGAGTGGAGGATCCGGTCATTATGTCGGTTGTCGCGGCTACGAACCCCACAAACAAGCACACGAGTCATAGCAAATTGCCCGGTTGCAGGCTGAGTAGCCAATTATTCGAGCGCGACACTCTCCCCGGAATGACCGCCCCACGGGGGAAAAGAAAATCTGCATATACAGAGGGGGAAAGATGGCATCTCTGGGGTCTACATTCCGCCAGCTAACCGACAATGCAGCCAAATGGACCAGCGGCACTAACCGAAAAGCATGGCTAAAGCCTAAGGCGTACCAAGTATATTTAAACGTGGTATCCGACTTGATCGAAACACGGCAACCATCTGCTCCTTGCCTTTGCCAGACATCGCCATTTGATAATCAAAAGCATATGCCACAGCTCTCCAAATGGACAAGACGAAGTACTTCAACAAGTCTCTGACCCTCTCGGTCGTGCTGATCGCCATCTCGACCTTCAACTATGGCTTCGACAATCAGGCCTTCGCCACCACCCAGGCTATGGATCACTTCCAGCGGCAATTCGGCGAGTTAGACCCAGCTACAGGTGACTACTCTCTACCATCATCTTGGTTAGCACTCTTCAACAGTCTTATGTATCTCGGCTTCACTGCTGGTAAGTCTCCCATCCGTTCTCGTTCAGAATTTACAGGATGGCGCCGCTGATGAGTTCTTCTTCTCCTCCTACCACAGGCGTGTTGATTGGCGGTTGGGTCTGTGATCGTTTCGGCCGTCGCTGGTGCATGTTCAGCATGAGTATATACGCCCTGGGAACTGCAACTATTGCGGTAACGTCAAACACGCGCGAACAAATCATGGCGGCGCGCGTCCTCAACTACGTCTATGTTGGCATGGAGATGGCTGTCGTACCCCTCTACCAATCTGAAATCGGTACGTCTAGTGCAAGCATCACTCTATCATCTCACTTCTAGTGCAGCGCTGACTCTGCGTAGTTCCCGCCCCAGTCCGTGGCCTCGTCGTTGGGACCTACCAATGGAGTCTAATCATCGGTGGTATTGTCATCAACTCCGTCTGCTACGGCACGAGCCACCTGGATGACAATCGCTCCTGGCGTATCCCTCTCGGCCTCTTCTATGTCGTCCCAACGATCGTGGCAGCTGGTATCTGGTTCCTCCCAGAATCCCCTCGCTGGCTCGTCCGAAACGGTCGCAACGAAGAAGGCCGTGCCGCCCTTCAGAAGCTCCGGCATGGGGCTTTCACCGAGGCAGAAGTCGACAAGGAGTTCCGCGAGCTGGAGTTCGCAATGGACCACGAGACGCAGAAGGGCAAATCGGTCGAGATTTTCCAGGGACTCAACCTCAAGCGCACCCTCATCGTTGTGGGCGTCAACTTCTTCCAGCAATCAACTGGTCAAGCATTCACTTCCCAGTACGGTGGCGTCTTCGTCCGTACTCTAAAGATTTTCAATCCTATTCTTTTCACACTTATGACAAGCTGTTTCACAGGCGTCGTCATGGTCGCCACCCTATTACTGAACGACAGGGTGGGCAGGCGGATCATGCTAATGCTCTCAAGCGTCTGCATGCTTGCGGTCCTGCTGACGCTGGGTGGCCTCGGCATCCAGACGCCGGTCGCGAGGGACCGGATGCAAGGCATCGTGGGCGTCATGTGCTTGTTCGGCCCATCATTCGCGCTGGGCTGGGGCCCCATGACCATGGTGGTCGCAACGGAAATCACCTCTCTCCGCTTGCGGGATAAGACTTCTCGTCTGGGTTTCTTCATCAACGTCCTTACTAAGTATGTATAAGTTGATCCTTTCTACTCTTGAAACGTACTAATTTTGTGTTTCAGCTTCGTCGTCAGTTTCTCGATTCCCTACCTGGTCTTCCCTGATCGCGCCGGTCTGGGCAGCCGAGTCGGTTTCATCTTCGCTGCCTTGTGCATTCTGGCCTCTGTCTTCGTCTTCTTTTGCGTCCCAGAATGCAAGGGGAAGACTCTCGAGCAGGTGGATTGGCTCTTCATCAACAACGTGCCTATCCGTAACTTTAAGAAGAAGGACACATCCAATATGTTGGAAGAGGCTGAAACTCCGCGAGGAAAACTAGACCAAGAGGGAGATCAAGACGAGTCTGAGAAGCCCGGAGCTGAAGTCCAGGTTGAGCGGGTCACATAAATTGATTGGCCTTGCACCAACCAAAGACGGCTTGCCCTTTCTAAAACATACTGTAATGATGGTTTCGCTTTTGTAGCAAGCCCTGTTACCATCTAAGAGCCGACGCTAGCCTGTCTTGAGTTACTTTGAGACTGAGCCGTCAATGTACCGTGGCTATGTACTTAAGCATTAGTATTTTCTATTTCAATAGTCTTGTTAGCAGAATATAACTCGTAGTTCTCCTTACCGTGTATCAAAGCAGATATTGAACTTCACCACCGCCTGGAAGCTACCCGAATGTTTGGTTTGGCTCCACACTTCTTCGCCATTCTTGTTTTGTTTGGCATACTGCGCCTTGACCGTCTGCAGCTCGCAGGCAAAGTGTCATAGAATCGCCATCGCGTTCTGTGCAGTTTCGACTGCCCCTGGGTTACGATTCCATAGTACCTTACCTGCGAGCTGCAGACATCAAAGCACAGTATACCAAACAAAATAAGGATAATGGAGAAGTGTAAAGCTTGTATATTTCGTTTATGCAGAACCTTCAAATCTCAAAGCGTAGGCACAACATAGAAATCACCTATCGATCGCTTGTCTTAACCGAAGACAGGTCGGTAATGTTGGAGCAATCGCCGTCGCATCAGCAGGGCAGCTTGATTGGGGCTGCAGTGATTGTTTGTCTCATCTGTACCTAGGCAGGTCAGTCAATCGCACAACACCTGCTTGTCTGAATAGTAGAGGCGTAGGTCGCGTGATCGTCACAACAAACATCACTCGTCTGACAGGAGACTGAAGGGGCGGGCTTAGCGACAGGTTGATAATTGGACATGACTGCGTTGTTCAGGTTGAAATATACCAGCTAGTTAGCCTTTGTTATAAACTGTGAACGTACCCACGACCGAGGGTGAGCCACGTTGGGCAGAAAGGAGCTTTCTTTTGGAAATGCTCGCATCCTTGTTGGTCATTTTTACAATGTGTGCGAAGTCATCGACGGTTCCAGCTCAAGCTCCTTTTCAAACCATGGCCCACGTGAGAGATGTGGCTATGTCATTGTCATCAGACGCTCCAAAAGGCTGAAACCTGGTCGAAATGAGATGTTGTGGTAGTTGTTGGCACCAACAGAATCCGTGCGGAAATGAGACGTAATGGTGGTGGGAGCATGCAGCACTGGTGGACGGGGCTTTCGGGAATCCGGCTCTTTTTGATAACCGACATGCGAGTGTGATCCGAGTTTTGCTGCATGTTGGTAGTTGGCCTGCATCAACAAGCTGATGTCAGGTGGTTATGTTGCTCAATCTTTTGCCGCTGTTGGTCGCCGTACCCCTGCAGCTGATACATCGCAGTGGGAGGCCTCACCAACACAAATGAACGGGCTGTGCCTATCACCACTCTGCAAGTATGTACAGTGTTGGATTTCATGGAGTGCTTGCGTTTACATGGGTGATGGCGGGAGCACCAGTTCACATGTTTCTGGTTTGCCATTCAAAACATGCATCTGATTTCAATCAGCTACTCCGTGTACACGTTATGTAAAGTCTCTTGCGGCTTGGTATTTCTTTTAGGCATCTAGATGGCTGATCCGCATCTGCCTCAGTGGCCCTTTTCGCAAGACATCTCGAAATTATACACAAGCATTCTTATTAAGGAGCTATCACGAGTGTTCTACAGGCCCCCCAGAACCTTGGCTTTGCTCAGGGTCTCGTACAGATATTCATCCACTGGAGCCTTATCTTGTCACGAATGAAGAAGATCAACTGATGCTTCCTTTTTCATTTCCGGGAGCCAACGTTTCATCCAGGCGTCGTGGTTGATCTCAAAAGTGACGACGCTCTGCGAAGATAGGCCGCGCGCCCGCGCGCCCTGGAGGATTCCAAAACAGTGGTGTAGCGCCGGGTAATGGGGTAGATTACTATTTAAATAAAAATAATTATATCTCATTTGGACTTTGCCTTCTTCTCCATGAGCCGAAACATTAAAAACGCCTCTAAAATCACACTTAACTCAAAATCGATACCTCCCCCGGCGCGCATTGCTACTATGGTTTCCCCACCATCAGGCTGGGTAGTCACTGTCGCAAAGATATTGTCCGCTTTGTGAATAACAAAGTCATATAGCTCAAGTGGTACAAGGGGTGGGGGACCTTCCCAAAATAGTCGAAAAACACGTCCGGAATCCGCGGTTCTCCATGTGAAATGATGATAGTCGGCAGCTCTGCCAGGCACCGTGATGACCGGTATTTGGCTGCTGCACTCGTCCATGGGGGTCGAGAAGTAACCCATTACGCGACTTATGGGACGCCAGAGGGCGTCAGGCTCAGTAGGCGAGGCAGTGCATACTGTGCCTATAGGTAGGGTCTTGCTTTTTAGGTCGTTTGACACATATGCTGCTGCAACAGCTGGGAGTGTGGGGTCAGACATAGAGAAGATTTGGATGTTGCCGACTTTGGTAGGCTCAGGGATGAGCTCAATACGATAAAGAGGTGTAGGATCAACAGTGAGAGATAGATGGTAGCTTGAATCAGAAACACGAACAATGCTGAAGTAGTCGATCTGGCGTTCTGCGACTGAGCATGTGCGCACAGTCCCAGCAAGACGGCTGGTGGTAGCAAGACGGCTAGTAGTAGTAATTAGATCGGTCGTTTCTTTAGCGGAAGAAGGCTTCTCCTGGTAGACAGGCGGGTTATCGGTATTGGAAGTCATTTCGAGTGGTGAGAAGATGAATGATGATATAGTGATATGGTAATAGCTTTGGCTTGCGGTGCAGAGTGTAGAGCTTGTCGGATCAGAGAGAGTTGGGGCAGAGGAGGATATGGGTATTGGAGAGAGTCCTGGACATGTATGCAGTCAGCTGATTTCTTTGGGCATTAGTAATATCTACAAGGGGTCGACAAAATTGCGGATGGTTCGAAACGGAAATCACGCAATCTTGTTGGTTGCGAATTGTTGGTTTTGCCATTTCGCAGCATATTGCTATCTTAGGTTGAATTATGACGAACCAGCCATCAATATGTGTTCCTCCGATCTAGCCAGACCGGCTGCTCTGATTAAAATACATTGATTCTTCGCACTATTCTACCACGTAAGTTCATTTGTTGTCTTAAGCTATTTTGAGATGCTGAGCCAGTTTTTGCCCATAAGAACAAGCAAGCAAGCCTGGTTCACACTACTGTGAAAGGTATATATATATATATATATACCTATATATTGATAGCATCTGCCTAGATTACAGAGAATCTATAAGCCAAGCAATACATTACATTATATGCTATTTCTTTCTTTCCTACCAACTTTCTTTCTCTTAAGAAAAACCATAAAAAGCCTTTTTTTCAACTGCCATCATGCGCTTCAACATTGCCTTCCTCTGCGCCTTCTTAGGTGCCGGAACCCAACTCGTTGCCGGAACCCAACCCGCTGCCGCCGCCCAACCCGCCGCCGCCGGCCAAACCACTACCGCTAAACCCAAGTTGAAATGGAATAGACCAGAGGTCCAAGGAGTGTGTGTACTCATATTCCAATCTGAACTCGGATATCTTAACAGTAATTAACTTTTGCACAGGGCTATGTTTGTCGGAGCAACTTGCACTTGGGGGTCCGCTATTTGCGACGCTAACGGCAAACCTGTCACCAAAATAGTCGCAAGTGTCACATATTGCTGTGCCGTGGCCGCTTCCGCACAGGTTGCTTCCAGGGGTCCACATTGGGAGAAAGCGGCTCAAAGCCTCGGACCAAAGGCCAAACTTGTCTATGATGCATCTAGAAAGACTCTGACCAACGGAGGAAGACTTATGGCTGCGTGTCCCGGGGGACTTTGTCGAATGGTCCAAATGTCAAAAGTCACTGGGGCCGTCGTCAATGGGGCCGTCAAAGGGGTCAATAACGTCAAAGTCGGCTGGGCAGGGGTTAAAAAAAAGACTAAACAGGCTGCCGTCAAGGTCAAACAGCAGCTTCATAAGCTGCCTCGACCAGGCCGTAAAAAGCAACCTACCTCTTCCGGGGCTATCCTTCCCTTAACCAACTCTCCTAGACCTAGACCCAGATCTATCAACGGTTTCCCTAAGCGCAGGAATAATCAACGCAAACAGAGACGCAGCAACTACAGGAAGATGAAGCGCTCCTCGTCTCCAAGCATGCAGATTCGAAGCCGCAAGCCGACGAACATAAATAACTACTACTAGATAAGCCTGCTAGCATCTGGATGGAAGTAGTATAGCTGCATGTTGGTCTGTAATAAATAAACAGTCTTGGTTTTTTTTTAAGTTCTTAAGAATATACTGCTCACAGCGACCACTTATCTTAGCAGCAGATAGCCTCATAGCGATAGCTTGTCTTGGTATTGGCCAGCTACCTACGCAGCAATTGTTTGTTAAAATTAGTCAGCTTCACTTATTGAACATTGTACCGAGGTATACCTTTCTTGGCAGGCTAACTGTTTTGTTCGATTTTTTTAGCGGGGCGAGTATGTCCTAAAATGGATTAGCAGGTATAGGCTGATAGCAGGGAGTTAATTGTTGTTGGCGAACGAGTTGTTAGTTATTACAGAAGGTGAAGTGAAATTCGCAACTATAAATTATAGAACCTGGGGTCTTTTATAAAAGTAGATGCTTAGGCACAGAATAGGAAATATATATCACAAATAAGACAAAAGCAAGCAAGACGAAGTCAGGTACTGTGACCGAGATGGATAATAATGTGTTTGTTAATTTCATATGTAGGGTAGCTGGTTAAGCCACTTGTGGCTGAAGCTATTGAAAATGTAAGGGTGGTACGGACCCGGAGTGCTTCCCCGAGATCCGAGTGGCTTCCGGGTAGGCAAAATCTAGACCCGCCACTACCTTCGCCTTCACCCGGAGTCGTCGGAGTTTAGCCGCGAAGTACTCCTCACTTCCGAGCAACATCCGCCGACCTAATATCCGAATACCAGGGTTCTCCTATCCTACAACACTGAGCGCGGGCCGCACGACAAGGGCTTTGTCAGTACCTGTGCGCGATCGACGGATAGCTGGACATTATGCCGACCGGCTTATCCTGCAGAGAATGCCGGGCACGCAAAGTAAAGTGCGACCGCACCCCCTTGCGATGCCTCGTCTGCATCAGACTGAACCTCGACTGTTCCTTCTCACAACCAGAAAGCCCCAAGCTTGGTCATGTTGAAGAGCTCACACAAGCTGGTACCAAGAGGAAGCGGGCTCGCCGAGCGTGTCTTGATTGCCGGGCTGCGAAGGCAAAATGCTCAGGCCGCCGGCCATGTGAGAGATGTGTCGCCAAACACCTTGCATGCGAAGAGATCGTTGCAACCGGCGTAGAAGGAGTGGGCCAAAATGATGCGGCCAGCTTCGTGTCTTCGAGCTTGTCAACGGCGCCTCGCAATCTTGACTCGATGCCCAGGGACACAAGTTCAGGCGATCCAGGGACGACTTCAAGCACTGGCTTTGAAGAGCTTGACAGAAGAACAATCAGAGGATACCTGGTCGACTACTTTGAGGAAGCGAGCCGCTCCACTGTATCCGTCCTTCATAAAGCCACAGTTCTTACCGACTGGACCCGGGGCATACTCGAGCCGGCTTTGCTGAAGATTATCATCGCAACAGTTCAGTATAGGAGGCAAGGCTACGCCGGCGGCACCGCCGAAGTACGACAATCTATGGATCAAGTTCAACAAGACGTGCTGTTGAAGTGGTCTCGCTACAACTTGACACTCCTTCAAGTTCTCGTCTTGCTCGCTCAATTGAGATTTCAGGCAGGAGACAATATTGAAGTGTGGAACTTGCTCCCTATCGCAGCACGCATGATTTTCACACTGGGCCTCAACCAGGAGAAGGAGCATTCCAGCGCCGTGATTCAGGAGTGTCGAAGGCGCTTGGTCTGGTCTATCTTCCATCTAGATCGCAAGTTTTCAGGGGGGCTCGAAGATTTGGCCGTCTGTTCGCCTGAAAGAATCCACATACGCCTGCCATGCGACCAACATACCTTCCAGAGAGGAGCTTCTTCTCGTTCAGCGTTCCTCATGGACGATGTGGTTGAAGACGGCACTGGCGTTGACATTTATGCTTTCTGGTTGCGGCTGCTCGTTACAAGAGACCGGGTGTTGAGGTAAATCGTTACGAACCTTGCATAACAATTTTAAAGCTGACTGATGATTTCTTAAGGTATGCAAAGAGAGTGAAGCGCGCCGGAATTGTCCCTTCATCGACCTACCACGAGATGCAGGGACTGCAAGCTGAGCTTGACCATTTCAAAAAGACGTTACCCGCGGATTTGAAGATAAGCTCTGAGAGAACAATGATGATGGCTCACTCGACGGAATGGGTCAAGTATGTTGGTCTGCACATGCAATGGTACCAAAGTCACTGCGACTTGTACCGGATTTGCGTGCCGGGACTACGTGAATCTTTACCGAGGGATACTCTCGCCAAGACGCCGTCCGACTTTATTGATTTTTGTCAAGAGGCTTGCCTTAGAAATGCGCTACAGCTTTGTCATCTTTTGTCTGCCATGTACCGCATGGAGCCAGGTGATGTGACGAGTGACACCAGCCTACCCATCTCCATCTATTCGGCGGCACAGATCTGTCGTCAGTTGCGGCATCTTCTCCCTTCTGAAGGAGAAAATACACTGCGCGCTGTCAAAGAACGATTCATCGATGCCTTGCAATTGGCCCATCCGCTGAATATCATGCCGGGGCCCATGAAATGCATGAGGGATGCAAGTAAAGTCATCAATAGTCTCGAGGAGGGGACTCGTGAGCAGTCATCGCGTTCGTCAAGCATCGGCGCGGGCGAGATCTCTGGGCACTTCCTTCCATCCAAGCACGCGCTTCTTCCCCGGTTCGCCAAGCCAGACGATGAGCACACACCGTCGCTCAATGACCAAGTATCATCTGTAGCCCCCCCGTCGGTGGGTGGACAGGAAGAGCCGGCGGCAAGGATCATGCTGGATCTTGCCAGTTCAAAGCAGGCCGTGAACAGCGGCCAATTGGATGAAGGAGGAGCGGTATCGTGGGATCCCTTCGACATGGAGATGAACGATTACTATGGCCCTGATATTGGTGTTTTGTTTGCTTCTCTTGAACCACAGTTTGATGATGTACCTCGGCCAGCATGACAAAAATACGCAGACTTCCAAAAGTGACAGGCGGAATTGTTTCATTTTCTCTTGTGGACATCTACTTGATTTTTCATTCTTTGACTCAACGGTATCAATAATCTCCACCCAGTGTAGATTAAAAGCACCCTACCGGGCGTCTTATATGAGCCCTGTGTCCTTCAAACTGACCTCAGTATTTGGTAATTTTTCGACGTTGGGGTTCCCATGAGTTCGTATCCATCCCAGTGACTTTATGACGAAATCCGCTCACTGGAACACTCTGTATGACAAAGTGAGAGAACCCCTTAGATTGCACGTGAAATCATCTTTCCTTTGACGAAGTCTTTACAAGCCAACGCCAAAGGACTAGTAGCGCAAGAATCTCCCCTGAAACTATGTAATTGAACACCTCGATGCCAAAGCGCCCAGATAAAGTTCCTAACGCAAATGGAAGAATAGCGGCACCAACCTGACCAGCTGAGTTGACAATGGACGTGGTACCAACTCGCTCGTTAGCAGGGAGAAGATTGGTCAAAGCAATCATCGCTGATGGATAACCGGGGCCAATAAAGAATCCTAGGATACCGACGATGGCTGTCGATGAGGAAGAAGTGACGACAAGAAAGAACAAGACTTGACAGGCGAGAGCTGCGCATATAGCAATGGTCATAGGCCGGTATAAACCAAATATGTCTGTCATATAGCCCATCGTTAATCTTCCTGTTGCCATTCCGATATGGAAGAATGACACGCAAAGACTGCTCGACAAATCCCCACCGTTTCTGGATCGTTTTATATACGTGGGGATCCACGACGTAATAGATGCTAACTCGTTGTCAATTTTAGCTATGTATTCTTCAAGACAAGATCGTGGCTTACCTTCAACACCTAAGCATATAAACACAAAGCCAATGCCAACAAGGGTCTCGGCCTTAAAGAGGGTTGCTGGAAACCACTGGTGATTTTGAGCTGAGTTGTCTTCGTTATCCTGTGCGATCTCGGTTCTGTACTCGTCGCTATCCTGCGGCCAGAATGCAAAGGACAGCAATACTAATCCAACAAAAGAGAAAGCGCACTATGATTGAACTTAGTAAGTCGACACACGATAAAAAGGAGTGCACCTACCATCACGATATACCAATGATACCATGGTCTCGACCCGATGTTTGTCAAGCTACCAGCAAGAAATGGCCCAGCAATACAACCAACAGAGAACGCGCTATGCAAGAGTCCAATAATGACATTTGCATGGCCCATTTCGCCTATCCAGGAATAAATAGAACCATCAATGAATCCAGCCAGACCACTAGCCGCGAGTGCAGCTAAAAATAATGGGAATGCTGGGTGGCATGCTCCAACAATGGCATAGAGAAGTTGGCATGTCGGCCCAATTACCATGGCACCGCGCCGTCCGAATTTTATATGAAGGGAGCGATTCATAAAGGAAGACGTGAGATATCCCAGACACGGGCAGAGGAACACAACCGACATCAACGAATCGCCCAGGCCATAGTATTCTTGCAACTGGCGAATTTGTTATCTCTCGCATTTTCCAGAAGATCTTGGCAAGGACAGCTCACTTGAGGAAGCAAAGTCTGGTAATGTTAATATCAGCGAACGAATACCAGTGATTTCTTAATGCACAACGGGTAGCAAGAAGGACGAGGGTCAATCATCATTGATTTGGATGTCAAATAGGGAGACTTACACCGAGAGTTGATATGAAAAGGCCCGTGACAAAAAATTGGTAAATTGTCGATTTAATCGCAATACTTTCCCTGGAGAATAAGCTTCGAAGTCCTCCAATACATGCTGCACGCTGCTTGGCGCTGGCCCTGTCTAGGCTCAAAGCTCGGCTTCCTCCATGGCTTCTTCGGTCCACTAGGAGCGGCGTTACGTCCCCCTGCATCGAATGACGAGTATGAAAAGGCGCTGGATGTAGTCGAGCCCAATCAGACCGATGTCCTTGGTATGAAGAATTGCTACACTACTGTGGCCACTTCCGACAGGATAGTGTTTAGAATGGGAATGCAGACCTTGGTTGGATTTGAGTGTTTAGAACCGCCATCATGTGTCAGTGACATCTGAATCCGGAAGTTAGCCGAATGCTGCGGGACGGCTTAATAAGTGCTACTTACTTCCTATTGGCCTATGCCCCCGGGCGGGAAAATATCTGATTGGCTCAAACTTGTCCTAGCACAGCTTTGTCAACTGGTGAACATGCCTGGTAATGGTTGAGGACTTATTAGATGTTGACTTTCCTTAATTTCGCAATTGAATTTCCAATTACCCTTTTGATTTATTAAGTTCGATCGAAGTTACTTTTGAGCTGTCGATTGATAGACATTCCTGCCTGAGAAACCCCGACATCATGGCGTCAAAACTTGCAGCGCACGGATTCGAGTTTCACAACTGGGCTGGAGGTGAGGAAGCAGCCGAAGGTTTTGGCATCTCCCACGCCGTTGTTGTCCCAGCAAACGCACGCACCATTGTCATTTCTGGTCAGGTTGGAATCAGAGACGATGGTACTATTCCAAGTGACCTGGAGGAACAGATAACGGAAGCATTTGATCATGTCGAGCGAAGTCTCAAGGCCGCGGGGCTGGGAGAGGATGCGTGGGAATACGTATATTCTGTGAGTCTTCCCATTAGGTTGATCTTTGGGTTCTTCCTACGGGATTGAGGGTGAGTGGGAGTGTATAAGCTAATTGTTCTCCTTAGGTGAAAACGTTTGAAGTCAAGAAGAATGGCCAGGACCTTGCCGAGAAGGTGGTGCCGATAAGCAGGAAGTACCTGAAAAATACGAAGCCCGCATGGACTGGTGTGACAGTGCAATCCCTCTTTTCCCCTGAGTTATACCTTGAGATCACAGTAGAGGCTTTCCTTCCAGCTTAGGATAGAATCTCCAAAGATAGCACAGTGATGAAGGGTGATCTCGACTTGAACTTAAATCTCAAGTATAAATGCCAAAGATCAACAAAAAGTCTGCCCAATACCGCAACACCAACTAGAAAGTAACAAAAACTTGACATATTAAGCGTTACCTCTATATACTACCCGCATTTGTTTCTTGGCATGATGGAGTTGGAGAGAAGCAATACCTGGCTTGTCTGTTCTGGTCTATCTTTGGGTGTGGCTATGTTGCCGGCAACTCCTCAATCGCCGGAGAAGAGTGGAGTGGGGTGAACGTAAGAAGACTTTGAGGAAACATAGCGTGAGGGTCAGCATCTCGGTTATGAGCATTGGGCAACTGTCAATCTCTAAGGGGCTGGAGTTTGAAGGCTTTTGTTGAGGAACATGATAAGTTTTATTTTTAAGCATTGACGGAAACATTAGATCCGTCTCTGATCTTTTGCTTTAAGCTCGTCCCTGGGTCTGCAATAGGAGCTAAAGGAAGGTTATTGAGTAGGTGGGTATATACAGGATATCACACCTTTGGAGTCATTTCGACCCATAAACCATGTTGTGGCGTGAACCATCGGTTCTTGAATCCATATTCGCTCTCCTTCACTAACTTCATATCGAAATTGATGAGAAGGGTGGGAACGATCTTCTTGATTTCCATTAGGCTGATCCAACGCCCACTGCAGGTGTGAGCCCCGTGGCCGAAAGTAAAGAAGCACCTATTCATAGCCCGAAGATGCTCCTCATTTGTTTCTGTTGGAAGCCACCTTTCAGGGCGGAAACTATCAGGATCGGTAAAGACCTCTGGGTCACGGTGAAGTACCCATGGGTTGATGCCCACTTCGGTGCCACCAGGGAGCTTATGGCCGCAGATCTCGGCACCTTCAGCAGGAACTAGGCGGGCTAGCATCATTCCCACTGATGGGTGCATTCTCAGAGACTCCTGTATCACGGCCCCAAAATATGGTAGCTTGTTGGCGTCGGTGAAACTGACGGGCGTCGCCAGGGTACTGAACTCCTCAGAAAGCTTCTCATACACATGCGGATGTTTGAGAACATGGAAGAAGACCGAACGCAAAGCGATAGCGGTGGTGTCACTTCCCGCAGCAATGTTACCAAATGCATGGGTCATGATTTCCCGATCATTGATGGACGCTGGGTTCTTGGCCTGGTTCAAGAGCAGCCGCTGGAGAAATGTAAGTGGACCGTCCTCTGACTGTTTCTTCTTGGCAGCTTCAATTTCGGATATTGCGAGCTGGAACATTTCCTTGTCACCGCCTCCTTCGCCAAACACGAGTCGAGCCACCAAGGGCCGTGCCAAGAGGAATTTGTGCATCCAAGGTACTTGTCCAATCTAAACCAGCAGAGAGATCAGAATCGTCATGGTTAGGGGGGCTGCGGCATATCCAAAATGCGGAGAGTATACTTACAACAGCCATATAGTCACTAACTGTCTCCAAGACGCCGTACATCTTCAAAACATCGCCTTCTTCAACGTAATTAAAGTCTCTGCCAAATGTCACCGCAAAAACAGCGTCCATTGCGTAGTCTTTCAAGAGGCTTGCTATGTCGACGGGCTGGCCTGCCTGTCTGCGAAGTTTGCGGACTAATCGCTCTGTTACAGGTTCAATCCACGATTCCATTTGTATCAAACCGTTCGTCGAATATGCGTTCGCGGCGTTCTTCTTCATTCTGGTATGAAGGGCCTTGCAAATATGTCAACACTTGAAGTCTGGCTAGATAGGGTCCGATGGAATAATGTCTAACCTTGTCTGTAAGAACAAAAGTATCTGGGACCAAGCCCTCGTCGTCATATGCAGAGGACAGTTCGTAGAAGCGGGACTTGATGAATTTGGTGCCGATGCCATAGATTTGGTTAATCTCCGCAGGGTCGGAAATGGACAGTAAATTCGGCCCAAGGCGCACGAGTTTGCCGTACTTTCGGTGCAGACTGATGTCGTCATTGTGGGAATTGCCATGGTAAGCCGAAAGGACGCGAGGAATACTGGTGATTCCTCTGATGAAAGGTCCTGGCACTTTCCAAAGTCCCCTTTGAAAATAGTTGTACAGAACCCGCGCAGCCAAGCCTGCGAGCAACACGTAGGCCCATTGGGAAGTGAAAAAATCAAGCGTGTCCTGAATCATGTTTCCGAGAGGTGCAGTTCGCGAAAGCAGCAGCGGCTCAAGCAAGGCAATCAATCACTGGGACAGGTAAATCAAAGTATTTCAGTAAACAAGCATGGTGCTAATCGTGGGTTGGGCCATCAAGGCTAGCTGGAGAGGAGCTCGCAATCCCAAGTCTTTAAGTTCCATGACAGCTGTAGCGTACCCAATTGGCCAAACAAGATCCCTCGATATTCCCCGCGATTGGTAATGGAGTCAAACTTTCCGCATGATTGGGTGAATTATGGTAGCTTTATCTCGGATCGGCTAGTGAGCAAATGAGATAATTTTCCATCCTTTCTACGTCTCGGTACAATACCCCACCACAAGACTCGACAAGTCCGGCACGGTTTCTTGTAAGCTAGCAAGCTGGGAACGAAGTGGCAAATCAGGCTAAAGTGAAAGCAGTTAACCTAAGATCGGTAGCTCATGTTCTCTTGTATAACGAGGCACCTACTGGGTGATAATCGCCAATCCCGGGATAATGCTTTTTTTACGCCCCTCACTGGTAAGGGCTTGGCAAAGTTTACCTGCCCTGAGTCAAGTGTTTTGAGTTAGGTACATATTTGTGGCACTGTATTCATGTACTCTTTGATATTTCCATCAGAAAAGTTACATAGATTTTGAGACTGGCCAAGAAGGTGTGTTTAGAGTCAAGAGTGCATCAGCTCATGGAGTGTGTAAGATATATACGTATAAAGAAAATAACTAAAATAATTAAGTTCGTTAAGTAGCTGAACTATCAAAAGAACCTGACGCAATGCGACTGTTAAATTGTGCTGCAACACCTTTTAGGCGCTAGTGATCCAAGTAAGAAACTTGAAAAGAAGGAGATCGAGAAAGGTACTGACAAAAGAAAACTGAAGAGGAGTGTGAAACGTAGACCAGTAAACCGATTGACAACAACATGAAGCTATTCAAATCGATGATTGTCTACAGCAGCCCTTTATTTATATGAGAGTCTACAAATTCAAATTGGACATGGAGCTCAAGGTTAAGTGTCATATTGAGCAGGTTGAATTTCCTATATAGCATCTACACAACATGTTACTGATCTTAATACCAGGCAACAAAAGTAAATCCCTAAACACAAGCCTTTCAGGACTCCCTTACCACTCCTTTGCTTTAGTGCGGTCCTGTGAGACGGTCAAATGTTAGTCACATACAACGTGGCTCAGTTGACACAGGCTCTTAAATGTCCTTCTTCGGAGCAGCCGCATCACTTGGAAAGGCCGTTCGTACCGGCTGTCCTGCAATGACAATATCGCCATCGTCGACTACTATCTCGACAACCGGGCCTTGGAAACGGCCACGTAAGTAGTAAAAGTACCAACCAAAGCCAAGTAAGAGGAACACAAAAAGGATCAAAGAAGCGTAGTTCCTTTGCCATTATCAGTATTGGTTATCCAGTCAAGCTATCACGGCTATTCAGGCATGGGAAGCGACTCACATATTCTCTGCGGTGACGGGCTGGTAGATTGGGAAGCAGAGAAAGATGAGGATAAATGATATCCAGGTGAATCCTGCCGCATTAAAAAACACTCTCCATCGGCCGAGCTGCCAAGGACCATACTGGAGATTCTTATGTTTTCGTGCATAGAACAGGTGTAGGCCAACTGGAAGGGCGTAAGACATCATGTACATGCTCATGACTCCACTCAAGATGCTATAAAACGCAGTTTGGTTTCCAATGTAAATGAGCCCAAAGGTTACCATTGGCACCCACGCTGCAGCGATAGCTTGGACGGGAACGTCAAGTTTGGGGTTGACTCTGCGAAAGATCTCGGGGAAGCACTCGTCTCTGGCCATAGCCCATAGGACTCGCGAGCAGGAACCCAGGCCGGTCATGCCGCCGACTAGGGCGTTGTATGTTGCAAGAGAATTGAGAAATATTGAAAGTCCAACGTTTCCGGTACTGTTGATGAGAATCTAAGAAATACATGGATTATTATTCATTCTTATTCTCATCAATCTGATCAGCTAGGGACAAACCTGAGTCATGGGGCTCAACAAGCCGATAGGGCCGTTGACAACTTCGGGGATGTCACCCGAGCAGTACATGAGCGCAACAAGCCACGGAAAAGTAACGACACTGTTTATTGCGATGGTCCACATCACTAAAATTGTCAGTCTATACACGGGGTTGTTTCTGGGCTGTACTTACTTGCTCGGGGAAGACTCTTCTGGACATGCTGGATCTCTTCAGCATAATGGGCTGCCATTTCTATGCCAGCAAAACCGAGCATTGGTGTTGTGAGCCCAATACAGAATGCCAGCCCATTGCTTGACCAACCAGAGCTATTGAGAAACTGCGTAAATACGTATGAAGTGTCGTTTTTTTCCTTGTTCATGACCAAAAGAATTATCATGATCAATAGAAACCCGACGATATGGGTACCAATCCCTGGATAAGTGCGTTAGTGTTAAGATACGCACATTCTCCGCGCCATCTGGCAGTGCTTTTACCTCCGAGGTTGAGATGATGCAACGCCCTGCTGCTAAACAGATTCATGGCCAGGTAGATGACCATGACTAAGGCGAAGATCTAATGAGTGAGTCTAGTTAGACGGTTGTTGCATATGTTGGGCAAGTTGTCTTACTTACTAAATAGGTATGCCACCTCTCATTGACATATTCCGGCCTTGCCACAATGACATACGCTTGGACTTGGATAGCAACACTCATAGCACACATGATGGTAGCCATCCAGATGTACCCGAAAGTCAGCAGACCCGAGATCCATGACTGGGAAAGGGTTAGTAGGGCATATATAGACTGAGAAGACTTGGGTGAGACTTACAAGAATTGGCCTCCATTTTAGAGGAGAGAGCTCTGCAGTCCAGTGATATTGAGCACCAGAAGATGGCCAAACACTATTGTTCTGTTCAGCAACTATCGGAGCATTGGGTATTATTGCCTGTTAACCTGACACATACCTTGCCATTTCAGATACAACGGCGCACACGCAGGTCATACCAAGACTTGTCAGGATATATCCACAGAGTAGTGAAACGGAGCCTCCCATCGCTAGGCCTTGAAGAAGAGTGGCTGAGATCCCTTCCCACTGCAGAAAAGTTAGCGTGGTACAAGGAGCAAGGATAAGGCGCATGGCAGATATAGGAACCACCTTACTGTGGCATTGATGCAAACTGTCATGGCAACAGCTGTCCAGAAATTGAACTTTCTTTTGAAGACCGGAGCCTTGCCAATGGCGGCAAGACCAGCTGCATCATCTGCATCAAGTCCATCGTAATGAGGATTAGCAGGCTTGTTATGGGCGTCAAAGCTCGTGATGACTTCCTCCCGCACGGAAGAAGACATGGCAATTTTTTCAGCCTACTTTACTTCGTCAAGACTGAAATGTAGAGAAGACTGAAGAAATCATGTAGAAGTTATGCGATTGTTAACTTGGGTCCCCCGCGTAGAACTATCAAATATATAAAGTGGATGAGGGTTGTTGTAGGTGGGACACTCAGCCTGGGGAATCGAGGGGGCAGATCCTTGCTTAGCGGCCGTGTCTGTGGGGTACTTTATGAATTGATAACTGATCCTGGACGCAGCGAGATTAGGAAATGAATGTGACACGCCAGATTATTCCCTGCTGCCTGCACATTCGTGTCCGGACAGCCCATGGTTGAAACTAGTGCGGCCAATTCACCTTTGATATGAGCCGTATGGGCTCCCCTACAGTCAACCGCAGCCAACTGGCATCTCACAATCTACTAGGATGCTACCTGATTAGTGCATCTGCAGGGAGCGGCAGGTGACAATCCGGACAAGTTTGCTATCAACGTGCGCGCACATGATGCATGCAGCGAGGACCACTCATCCCACGCTGCCGGACCTGTGTCATCGGTTCCAGATTGCCATTTCCGCCGGAGGAGTGGTGGCTAGTGGATCCAATTCCATCCGGCTTGAATCATGTCCAGGATTCGCCCAGTTTTTCCACAACGGCGTTCCGTTGTTATGTATACCCCGCGGGTTCCGGGTTCCGTCTGTTATGTAAGCCCTGCTATTCTAAAGTATCAGGAATTGCATCAAATACTACCCTTGGTAAGCCACCCTTTCCGGCTTCAAACCGACAAGTGACCCCTGCTCATAGTTCAGACCAACCATCCAAGCCAACTAGGACCAACCGGAAGCTAAACTTATCCAAATTCGCCTACCTACAACGTACACGAAGCCCTCATCAAAGAGCTCATTCACGGCCATGTCTCCAAGCGTCCAGGAGAAGTTAAAGGTGGTCATCGTGGGCGCTGGCTTCTGCGGGCTCACGGCGGCCATCGAATGCCAGCTACGCGGAATGCACCCAATCCTCGTCGAGGCCTATCCAGGAGCCAGTTCCCACGGTGACCTATTGGACTTTGTGCCCAATGCTGGTCGGGTGTTCGACTCCTGGGATAATGGGAAAGTTGGTGAAAAGCTGCTCGCAGCTGGTGTGAATCGCGCCAAGACACTAGACTTTTACAACCAAGACAACGTGCTGCTCAAGTCCGATCCATGGCCCCAGGGTATCGATCTCAAAGGCACGTTTGCTGGACATAGAGGTGCCATGCATGAGATCGTCTACAACTATGCAAAGCAAATTGGCGTTGACATGCGCTTCAAGTCCAAAGTAGTGGAATATCTGGACTCTGACGACGAGAGGGGCGTGGTCATATCCGGGACTGGTGAGAAGATTTTGGGCGACGTGGTCCTGGCTTGTGACGGGCCCAAGTCGCTGGCCCGCTCGCAGCTCCTCGGCCTGCCTGAAAGTCGAGTCAATAGTGGCTACGCTATCTTTCGGGCCTTCTTTCAAATCACCGATGAGATGCTCAAGGATCCTTTCATGGCTGAGTTGACCCGGAAAGATCAAGATACTACCAGGTTCTGGGTTGGCAAAGACATGCACGGCTTTATCTACACTTGGAACGAAGGGCGGTAAGTACATGGTCGCCTTGGTAGTGCGTATGTTCAGAGACTAATACTTGCACCTAGTGACTGTGCGTGGGTTCTGACGCATCTTGATGATGCTGATATTCAAGAGAGCTGGTCTTTCCCGGCCAGAAAGCAGAATGTTCTTTTCTACCTTAACCAAGCGGGCTTTCCAGAGGTTTGGCGCCGAGTGCTAGCCTTGACCCCTGAGGATGGTATCGTGGATTACGTGAGTCGCCTTATACCTGAACCTACAAGGGCTGGACAGCCCGCAGAATGCTCCTGCCTGCTCAACCACTGACTAATCTGCTAGAAACTTGTTTGGAGAGACCCTTTGACTACTTGGCTCTCATCTTCTAAGAAGTGTGCGGTGATGGGGGATGCAGCACATTGCCATTTGCCCACCTCGGCCAACGGTGCTTGCCAAGCGGTAGAGGATGCGGCCACTGTGGCGATTTGTTTAGAAAAGGTGAGACAATTATTCGAGCTCGGTATTAGGATTCGGCACAGATACACTAGGTCACTTGCTAACCTTGGTATATAGTCGCATGGAGATGTAGCACTCGCGCTACAGGTGTTTGAGAGAGTCCGCTTCAACCGATCCCATGTTATCCATCAAGCCTCCATTTCTACAAGGAATATATACCACAAGAACGACTGGTCGTTGGAGATGGTGAAGAAAAATCCAGACTCGCTGATTATGCCTCTTTTGGACTGGATCATGGACTTTGACTGTCAAAAAGCGGCAGAAGAAAATTATGACCGGTTAGCCCAGGACGTGCTTTTGGGTAAGACAGGCACTATAGAAGAGCTCTCTCTCCCTGCAGGAGGAAATTACGATAGTATGAATCTCGCATAGCTCTTTTACATCGGCTAGAATAGATATCTTGATTAGCGAGTGGTTTATGAAACAATTATTCGCCATTCAAAATTCGTAACCTTAACTAACCGCGTCAAACTCACAAACCTTGTCAATCCTTGCCACCAGAAAAGTGTACCACTTATGGTCTCGTTAATCAAATTATTATCCAAGATGAATTTTTTATCATGAATGGGATAATTTCACTATGAGAATTGTATCTAAGACAATGTTCGCTTTGCACTGCACCATTTACTTAAGCGACCGTAATTATATCGTTATGTGCTTCAATGATGATTCGCTTGAATGTTAATAACTAATTCAACGTAAAAATCAGCCCCACCATGTGATCAATCTGGGCTACCTCGTTGAATACCGTTACTTATTAGACATGCATGCCTACTTATTCGCAATATATTCATCTTGTTGGCCATTTCCACATTTACCAAGGGATATCAGGTTGTATAGGGTACTTGACTGGGCTCGCCATTCATTCCACCGGATACGAACGTGGTGCACCGTTTATCACTACAGCCCGAAATTCTCCCGTTCCGGATCCATCCCGGTGAATATTGCACGCTTCCGATTGGTGCGTCTTTCACCCGGTTGAGCTCATAACTTCGGATTGTGCCTAGGTAGTTTCCAATGGGCCGCCAAGCCCGTTTCTCAGCTGTGTGTATGGGCTTCGGCCTCACGAGTCACACGTGTGGCTCAGTAGTGATACCGGAGCGCTGCACCCCAAAAAGTGAACCTCTTTTGGATTTTAAGTGAGTTTCAATGGTGTTTTCAAGTAGGAAGTCCATCTGGAGATTCTATTACCCAACCATTGTACCAAAGTCTTGCCACACATTGCACGCTTCTACAACTTGTTGTTACCAAAAGTCTACAGAAACAATGGCATCCAACTTCCTAGCAGCCCTCGAGGCCAGACGCTCTATCTATGAAATTAACAACACCTCCCCTATCTCAGATGGAAAGATTGTCGAGATCATCAATGCAACCATCAAGCATTGCCCTAGTGCGTTCAACTCACAGACAACACGGGTCCTCATGCTACTCGGCCCCGAGCATGAGAAGCTGTGGCGAGATATCGTGAAGCCAGCTGTAAAAGCCGTGGCTCCCGCAGACTCGTAGGCAGAGAGTGAGGAGCGTCTCAGCTCGTTTCAAAGTGGATACGGCACAATTCTCTTCTACGAGGACCCGAAAGTCATTGCCAAGTTCCAAGAGCTGGTTCCTCTGTTCGCCGATCAGATGCCCCGGTGGTCAGAGCATGCCAACGGGATGAATACTTTGGCGGCGTGGACTGCCCTTGAACTGGAAGGGCTTGGTGCCAGCCTCCAGCATTACAATCCCCTTATCGACCAAAAGGTAGCATCTACTTGGCAAGTGCCCGAGGAATGGCTTCTTAAGAGTCAGCTAGTCTTTGGAGGGCGCTTTGGGGAGCCAGGGCCAAGGGAATATGATCTTCTTAGTGAAAGGGTTCTGGTCCATGGAGCACAGGAGAAGAAATTACCTCAGTAATCTTAGCACTTTAGTCCACATTAGTCTAGATAAGCCTCATCACCTAGATATAGAGATAGCACTGGTAAAATAACGTCTATCGTTATCGTATTCTCGACTATGCAAAGCCTTTTTATCGCGGAATGTTTGCTTTTATATCTTATTTTCAACGTGAATGCAATCCACGATGCGATGTTTTGCCTCTAATGTTTAGCAGAGACGTGTAGAAATAAATATGAAGCCACCGCATAGTAGTAACCCTCGTTTCGCCAGTACCCTGAGCTTCTTCTCGGAATGATTATAGAGTGGGAAGCCCAGTCATTCCCTAAATGGCCGGCCAAAGCCTGGATAGCAAAGGAGGATACCCTTGCCGAATACCTGGAAATTCGCTTACGGGTTGGTGGGCTTGAGTAGGCCAGATGATCGGTCAGCCAACAAAGACTCTCTCACTCTAGTCAAGGCTTAAACAAAATATGCCGTGTGGGATGCCGGCACGCGCTCTCGAGCCTCGGCAGGTAATCATAGGCCATGAACCCTAAGTGACCTCCGATTACAATCGCCCATACTGGAGCCTGCACTTGGAGTGGGGTGCCGAGTTTCCAATTGGAAAAACTCTGGGGCCCATCTGACTCACGAATGGAGGATTGGACTGCTCTCACTTACCCACCCGGGATGCTAAGTTAGCCACGTCGTTGTTGTGTTCTCAGCCTATCAACCCCGCCTCGGCGATATCCTAGGATGCCACCAATCGGACCATAATCTCAGGAAGAACGTTGGATGCTCAATTCCCAAACGCTGCAGTAAGTCAGAAGTATACATAAGGGACCTGCTTTGTCCCCATGTACCATTATCATTACGGGCTAGCTACTAGGATACATTTCTTTCCCATCCATCCCTGTCCAACCTTCCATTCCGATTTATCAGGAAAATAAAATAAAAGAAATCAATAAATAAAATTACAGATTGGGACCAAAGAGCCCAACCACGACAGCAGGAAGACTTACAACAAGGATCAAGCAACGGCCCTCGTCATGGATCTCTCTAAACTCAACGTTCTCATTGTGGGGGGCGGATACTGCGGCCTGACGACGGCCGTCGAATGCAGGCTCCGAGGCATGCAGGTCACCGTGCTTGAGTCCCACAAGGACGTCAGCAAGACCGGTGACACCATCGATTTTGCAACCAATGCCGGCCGAGTCTTCAACAAGTGGAAAGATGGAGAAATAGGGAAAAGAATGTGGGCCACTGGCGGCGTTACCTGCCACATGATTGACATGTTCAATGCCAAGAACGAACTATTATGCTCGCTTCCCTATGAGAGAGGCATCCATGTCCCGGATACCTTCTCAGCCCGCCGCGGCCCAATGGCACAAATCATCTGGGACTATGCCGAGGAGCTTGGTGTGAAGATCAGGTGTCTCACAAAAGTCGTCGATTACATCGATACTGAGACTGAGCATGGTGTCATCACCACAACCGGAGAGAAGATTCTTGCCGACGTGGTGTTGGCTAGCGATGGAGCACGTTCTACCGCACGATCGAAGCTGATGGGTCTGACGGAGCACAAGGTTAACAGCGGGTATGCGATTTTCCGCTCTCTGTTCGAGTTGACAGATGAAGATCGAAAGAACCCCTTGATCCTTGAAAAGACAAAAAATCTGACGGAGAATTGGACTGCCGGATGGGTGGGCAAGGATGTTCATGGTTACATGTTCATCTTCGATGATGCCAAGTAAGTGCAATTCTGTCACACACATGATGAATTTTGCAAAGTGCTAACAATGCTCCAGATATTGCTCCTGGCTCTTTACTTATAAAGACGATGCCGATATTGGAGAGTCTTGGCAGCTGCCGGCTAAGAAATCGGACGTCTTGTTCTACCTTAAGGAAGCCAACTTTCCACAAATATGGACCGAATTTGTCAATCTCACTCCCGAGGATAAGATATCTGACTATAAACTAGTATGGCGTGACCCTATCAAGACTTGGCTGTCTTCTTCCAAACACTGTGCTGTGATCGGAGATGCCGCGCATTGTCACCTGCCAACCTCATCACAGGGGGCATGCCAGGCAGTCGAAGATGCCGCGGTCATTGCAATCTGCCTTGAGAAGGCTAAGGGGGATGTGCCCTTGGCGCTTCAGGTGTTTGAGCGTATTCGCTTCAACCGCTCCCACATCATCCATCAGTCATCCATAACTACACGCGATGTCTATCACAAGCATGAATGGACGCCAGAGCTCGTGAAGGAGTATCCTGACTCGCTGAGCATGGCAGGATTTGATTGGATTACTGACTATGATGTTCAAGCAGAAGCTATCAAGCACTTTGATCAGCTAGCGGTGGATGTTAAGAATGGGCGAAAGGGAACGATTGAGGAACTGTCTCTGCCTGCAGGTGGTACGTTTGAGTCGCAAGTCAAGGTTGAGGAGCTACGAACTGGTGTGAACAAGGTTGCCATCACTGCAGCATAAGGATATGGGTCCTGGTTGACTAAATGCAATATAACGTACTATTCAAGTAGCCTGGAAGAAAGAATTAGAAGAGGATCTATACAGGCTTTAGGAGCAGCGTGAGAAGATAATCTTTGGATTCAACTCAAAGTAGAGGACTTTCTGAAAGAATTTCTTTACAATTAAATCAGGTTTCGTATTTGTCTTTGTTTAAATTTTATGTGAACCTTCTTAATTAAGAAGATGACAAAATATATCCTGGGTGCCATATTCACTGCGTTGAGTTGTTCGGGCCCTGGCAGCTTCATTGTTGTTAAAGTTTATCATTCGTATTCTCCCACGCATATCTTGGGTGCCAAGAGACATCTTTATGCTTTCAGCCATTGCAAGCAGAATCTTGGGTCCATTTAAATGTAGCCATTTCAACTGTGAAGATGTGTTTGATCTGCATGATGTCAACTTACTTACTGCTTAACGAGCTTCAATCATCAACATCTTTTGCCTGGGCACCATGCGCGTCAGCCAAGAGCATGGCATGTGATATTGTATATCTGTACTACTTGAGATACCCTGGCTGCTAATCTGGCATAGCAAGCGCCTATAACAATGGAGCCAGCAACTTCGCATTTATGCTTTGTAAAGACTGGCAATGGGGACGACTAGGCCAATTGTCGGCAGACCTTGGGTCGTGCTGGTGGATGGAGACCGAACTGTTCTTCTTTGGGGGAAGGCACATAAGGTATTCTTGCTTGTAGGATGTGGTGTGCTGGAATAGGCAGGGGGGTTGACGAGCTGAAGGTGTGGTAGGTTGTAGCAGATGGTTAGGAGAGACTGGGAATGTGGTAAGTGGGTGGGTTGGCAGACCTCGTCGTTACCGCTAGATTGCAAGATGGGTTAGACAATACTTGCATGGGGCCATGAGAGGGGTGACACTGGTGTTTCTTCCTCCCGGATGGAGCAAGGCGAATCGGTGTAGCTCCTAAAGGATTTCGGCGGAAAAACAGGGCCAATCACGGACACGGGCCGGCGCACTCTGGAATGGATGGCTCCAGGCTGACAAGGAGCTATCGCATGTTGTCCTTGTTTTGTAGAGGAATAGTTGAATTGGGGATGCATTTTCAGCATTCAATTTTGGACCAAGAAGCGACTCAGAAACTTGTCTGGTTTCGGACCCAGAAACCAAGTCACCATGCGTTCCCAAGGAACCAAAGAGGCTCCAGCAGCTCCCAGGACCAAGGTAACGGTGGCCTGTGATGGCTGTCGCAAGCGTCGTGTAAGTGCACCCGTACGCTGCATTTGAAGCTTGCTCAAACCTTTACACTGCGACAGACGTAGAGGCATGCATGTCTATTGACGCTGAACTCCCGAAAATCCAGGTCAAATGCAGTGGAGTCATTCCCTGCTCGGCATGTGTCGCCAATGGCGGTACTTGCGTGTTTGATGACAAGTACCGAGGGCGTCGCCGTCCAAGATCACGGCCTCCTCCCCAGCGGGTAACACATAACCTAGCACCAGCTCACAGCACTTCCGGCCAAGTCCCAAATCAGCAAGCTCAAAGCCCGACGGGGTCAAGCTTGCGGGCTCGGCTACGGCCGGTATCAGGCTCTGCTCCGTCTGGTCCGGACATAGCCGGGGCAACTCTACGCAAAGCTACACCTAGGCCTCTTTCCGACCATAGCCAGGAATGCACAGCAACAAGCTCATTGAACAACCCTGGAAAGTGGATGAATGGCCTTAGGAACATCTTGTCCAATATGAAAAAGTTTCATCTTGAGTATGGCCCGCCCATGACTAGCAAATTTAGCACCAATGGCTAATAACATTGTTGAACCAGCCCACCACTGAATGTAGAACTAATAGCACACTTACTAGAACTGTTCTTCGAGTACAGAACTGCGATTATACAGCAAGTACTGCCTGCTTCTTCATTGCTGCAGGCAATCTCTACTGGCTCGGCGTTTCCAGGTCTCATCCTGGCCGTCTGCGCATATAGTGCGCGATTCTCTATGCATCACCAAGTCCAAAGATGGAACATGAAAGGCTCGCGTGTCATTGAAACACTTGCTAAGAGTGCTAGAGACTCCACGAATGACTATGGCAACAACATACAAGCCCAAATAGACCATCTGAAGACCATTTGCATTCTCATCGAGCACGAAGCCAGCATCTCGCGTGGGGGGTTCGCCTGGGTAAACTTGGGTAGGATTTGCTGTCTATTTACCTGCAGGCTTCATCTATACCATGGCTAACATTATGCTGGTGGGTGCAGCCGCGGCCAGGAAGATTACGCAGCTGTGTTTGGCAACGAGTAAGCTCTGTCTGGAAGAGTCAAAATTTCTAGATTCCGTGAGCAATTTTTTAGCAGTCACCGAGGCGACTCATTGCCTTGGAAACCCAAAACTGGTCCCAGAGAAAAGCCAGATGATAGGCCAGAGCCAAGACTGTAGCGTCAAGCTCACCAATCCTGATAGTTGGGAGCGATTGCTGGCTCTATTGCGATTTCTTTCCCGGATCCAGCGACATCGGGCAACTGGATTTGGGTGGCAAAAGTCGGCGCCGTGGCATCAGCATTCGGATTTCCGAGCACTTCATGAGGAGCTGGAAACACATTTATTGCGCCATCGAGATACACCGCCATGCCCGGACGTGGGCGACCCTGGCGAGCTTCACAAGGATACCAACTTCAATGGATTGGTCTGCTCGCTCCTCTGCCACTGCTGTGATATTGAACTAAACAACAGTTTCCTGCCCATTTCCATGAAGGGGCTTGGGAGGGATGGGGGACATGGCCCTCACACAGAAAACATCGACTATCCCGGCGCTCCGAGTCTTTTCCTTGCAGAAAGAAAGATTCGGTGTCAATCGAGTGCCGTGGCTATTTGTGACTGCGTAAAATATATAATTTTCGAACAAGGTTTCTTCAAGGTGAGAATAATCTAATGGGGCGTGGATATAATTAACGTTCTGATCAGCACATGTTGATACTCGGGTATTGCTGCGTGCAGAGCCTCTTTATACTATCGTATGAAGTCGAATGGGGCCCGAAGCCTGTCCAGCCTAAGCTGCTTGAAAGTGTCGCCTTCTTACGGAACGTTGTCATTGCAGTCAGCAAGTTTTATTCCCAAGGCCAAAGCTGGGTAAGTACAGCTATACCAATTCTTTGAGCGAAGAGTTAATATTTTGGTTCAACATGTCTCAAACTCGCTTGCTCATAAATTCCGCACTAGATAGAGATAATCCGACTGGTCCAGGATTTCCAATTGGACTTAGTGCAACTACCTGGAACCACAGAGGACGCTTTTAAGGGGTATCTTAGCCGCTTCAAGGACGTGTCGGAGCCTTTATGTGTGCCGCTGAATCCTCTTGTCTTCCACGGAGCACCGCATAATCCTGCGCCCACAGATGACATAACGTCTCTCTATGGGCAGCAGTCCCTGGAAATACCAACAGCAGGCAAGAGGACGCCATCATGGATGCTGGACTATACTCAACACCTAACTCAGTATCTGTCTGAGTCAGAAGCCGACCAAGACGCCAAAAGCCCTTCGAATCCCACCTCCGCCGTTACCATGACGCGCTCCGAGCTCTCTTCTTCGACGAGTGGAGTGATTCAGCGGCAAGTCAACCCTGGAGCCGGCAATGACGAGTGGTTAGAGGAAACAGGCTTACGGGAACAGCTTCTGACACAACCTGATACTGTGGAGGGAAGAGCAGTACGCGACAGTGGGAGTGCTTTAGAAGATACCGATGTTCTGCTGGCCCAGATTTTACAACCCTCACCAAATCTCAATGGGTTGTTCTCGAGTGGTGAGACTGTTATCGATACAGATGCCGCGAGGATTCTCCGAGACGATCTTTTATTTAGACATAACGGTGATTTGAATTTTCTGTCAGAGCATGTGCCGTTCCTCTGGGATAACACTGATAACGGTATACTTCCGTGAGAAGGAGGAAAAGGTCCTTGGAAGAATCAGTCTTACCGCTTTCTCCTCGCTTCGAAGAGCCTGCAACATCTATCCTAATTCATTGAGTAGCGACCAATTGTAAATATTGAAATATAGATCGCTTTATTTTAGATAAGGGCCTATGAGCTAGAATTTTTTGATCTAGGTACAGATCCCGTAACTTTCTACATAACTAAATATGTTAACTAGGGGCTGTTCATCATATATCTTGGAAAATCAGAAATGGAGTAGAAAGCTAAAGTTGGTTCTATTTTCAGATCTCTTTATGTCTCTACACGGTGGCTAATACTAGAGACTAGAGACGAGTAGGGGACAACCTACGCAGCCTCCTTCTCTTGCCAAGCCTTCAGCCGGTTTAATCATTATGTTTAAGAGGCAAAAGGCCAAAGGCATCACATGGACAGGGTAGCTAATTAATATACCTCCTGATCAGGAATAGGTTAACATGCGGGGATTCCACGACTTCCCCGCAATTGATAAGTCGGACTTGACTGCAGAGTCCTGACACTGTCGCCCACTTTCATCCCGTCCCGTCATTTTTCCCTGACAGGCAATCCTATTACCACAACCCTTCTTGCTTCAATAATCACCCAACCAGTGCCGGCGGGTGGTCTTTTTAGAAGCTAAGCCTTTAATAAGCCTCTTACCCACCGGATCGAGAATTAACTTCGATGGATAATACCCTATCGCCGTTGCTACGGGTCGCAGTTGGCGAAGCATGTTGGACATGCCAAGAGCACCTTCGAGCTTGTGATGCTGGCCTACCACGTGAGCCTTACAACTCCCCAACCGATGGTCTCATCATGGGGCTGCATTGAATGTCTGTTATTAATCATAACTGCAATAGAATGTCGCACTTGTATCGACCATGGTTCGACGTGCTCGGGCTATGGGAGCAAGTTATCGCTTACATGTAAAGGTCTAACGTCAACGAGGCAGAATGGACACATCCGTAGAAGCCCTTCAATGACAGGCCAAGTCGTCCCAGCTCAGGGCATGCCCATCTTGATGGCCTTTCACCCTCTGCCCGTCGAGCAGAGCTACTTTGCACAGCACTTTAGTCGTGCGTAATCTGATCGCACTAGAACTTGTCCTAATTCCACAGCTCATGATTACCACAGACAATATCGCCCGCATTGGGCTTGCCATTGATCATCAGGGGAACGGCTATCGGTGGCTGCTGCCCATGGCCATGTCTGAGCCAGCTCTCCTCAACGCTGCCCTGGCAGTGGCGGCCTCGCACCACAGCCGTTGGCAGCAATCAACAAACAACGATTCCCTCAAGTATCTGCGGGCATCCTGCCAAAATCTTAAGCAGAGGCTTGTAGATCGAAAACTCGTCCACAGCAACGTTACCTTGGCCTCTATGCTTCTGCTGGCAACGTACGAGGTATTGTGCCCTTTCCATAGCCTCTTGGTCTTTTTTCGCTTCTTTGACCATGAGATCCTCAGGTTTTTGCAGGTACCGGCCGCTGGAAAAGGCATCTCCTAGCTATCCAGGGTTGGATACGCTCCCGGGGAGACTGCTCCGATCTCGACCCGTTTCTTAAGAATTGGGTTTGTATGCTCGACATCCAAGCAGCGTTGAGTCTCGGCATGGCGTCAATCCCCGAACTAGATCCATGGATGGAAGCCACCGCAGACCACAATGAGACGATTGATGCACTGTTTGGGTGTTCGGTTAGGTTGCCAAAGCTCCTGGTTAGTACTAAACATCAGGCAGGAGTGGTCACACTTGTAAAGGAAAATGGACCAAGCTGATGGTGATGTAGTCGGCAGCTTCTCGCCTGCTTGTAGCAATCAGGGATGGGGAGCTCGCTCCTTCAGAGATACAGTTACGCGTCAATGCGTTGCAAAAGGAGATACGGGCTACACGCATCTCAGCTGATGCTATCCCGATGCTAGGTCTAACATGCCGCCACACGACCCAAACATTCTCGGCCACTATTGGCTTACATGAGGAGGAGATGCGGCGTAGAGCTATTGCCACGGCTGAAATATTCCGTCACGCCACTCACATATTTGTGTATCGCATCATTCACGGCCCGGAAACCTCCCTCAGCCCTGAGATGTTGGGGTCTTTACATGACGCTCTCGGACTTTTGACTCATGTGCCAGACGCTGTCGGTCCAGGGGCTAATCTCGGCTGGTGTCTAGTCGTACTTGGAACGGAGTTGGAAACAGAAGAGTGCCGCCAGTATATAAAATCGCGTTGGGCGGGCTTACATCTGCTTGGCGTTCACAGTACCAAGAACGGTGAGAAGATTCTGAACGAAGTCTGGAACCATCGTGACCTCATGAAGAAAGGACACCCTGTCGCCTCGGAGCGGTGGCAAGACATCATGTTACGTATCGGCAAGGCGCAAATATTGATGTAAGACGAGATGATCTTTGAAAATACTCGGCGATAGAACAGAATGGTTGTATAGTTTAAGGAAAATAACTTCTGTCACTATGGTGACATCATATTGCAATGTCAGAGGTTATGGGCTTGTTTCATGGTGAGATGCTAAAGTTGGAGGAGCTATCAAATGCCCTTCGTAGAAGCCTTCAGAATGTGAGGAATGCACTAACACCTGACTCAGAGAGACATTGAAAACCCGGCAATAGCAAGTTGGAATCTAGGAAGGTGGGCAACGGAAGCATGGCCTTAACGTTTGCAGGTACACTTATGATTTGTTTCTGCGTTTGTCAGTATATATAACTAATTACAATTAGGCCCGCAAGGAAGCCACTTAGTCAACTATATCACGATATCCTTGATGCGAAATATATCTTAGTTAATTCCGCGAACCGGGTCTCTAACACCGTTCGCCGTGACCGCTCCGGATAATATGGCCTTTTTCTCCTGTACCAAGATTCCATAAACAAAGTAACCAAACAAAGGAACCTTTACCCTGTGTGGATAAATACCCCATGCACGGGAATGCTCGATTGGCTACCGAGTTTACACGGAAGCCATGGGCTGGCCCTCAAACTTACCTTTGCACCAATGGGAAGGGACTTGATTGAGGTCACTTCTCGATTGCAGAGACTTGGATGCCTCTCTTACTCGCAGACACTAGCTCGAAAGCATGGGAATGGAAGCGCGATTCCTTGCAACCGGAACAGATATCGACGAAACTACCAACCGGAATAAGACTCTGTTCCACACCCCAGTCATGCCGAGGGATGTGGTTGGTGGTTGCTAAGGCTATGGGGAATAAAATCTCATTCGCCACGGCCTGCCTGCCCCGCCCATTATAGCCAGCTCGTAGTTCATCGGAACAGAATAGTAGATGTGATCCTATGTCTTAAACAGAATTTGCTGCTAGTCACGAAAGGGATTGGATCAGATAACATCCAGAGGGACTTTGGTCGTCTCACTTGACATTGCAATGGCCGATTCTGGTGTCTTGAGAACGCCCAGTGTTCTTACAACCGGCAAACTACAGCGCGACATCCCTGTGTTGCCAATGTTTGTTGTTTTCTGTGTGCTTTTGACATGCCATTTTATCGTCAACCGGTACCATAAAGGCCTGCACAAAGTCCCAGGCCCATTCCTTAACTCAATCTCAACGGCCCCACGCATATGGTCAGTCTATCGGTCGCGCAGCCATGTTGATGACATGAAGCTGCATCGAAAATATGGTAAAATTGTGCGACTTGCTCCACGAACCATTTCTGTCTCTAGTACCGCTACCGTCGAGCACCTCTATGGAATCTCCACGAAGTTTGTCAAGTCAGAGTTCTTTAAGCTCGGAGCGTTTACGGATGAAAAGGGGGAGTATATCCCGGATCCATTCAGTACACAGGACCGCCATGTTCATTCCAGGCTGAAACGGGGGGCAGCCAATGCGTACTCTTTGACTAGCCTCGTGAAAATGGAGCCACTCGTGAGCCCAGTGACGGAACGACTCTTGCGGATTCTCGATCGTCACGCAGAAGCCGGAACTGTGTGTGATTTTGGAGATGTACTCAAAAACTACGTTATGGATGCAATATTTGCTATATCCTTTGGGCAAGATATGAACTATCTTGAGAAGGGTGACCATCTCCGCCTCTATCGCGTGCTCGATATATTCACTAGTTACATGGCCATTGTAAGTCTTCCCAAGCTGCAAAATAAAAGTATTTCCGTGCTTATTATTATTATAAGTGCTAACCTGGAACTTCTTCATTAGTTTGGACAGATACCCTGGTGCCACAAATTTCTCCTGAAGAACCCGCGTTTTGCTGAATGGGTCGCCGGGAACAATACTTCACAACTCCAAATGATGGATCTTGCTATCCAGGAGACTGAAGCAAGCTTTTCTAAGCCCCCATCAGAGGGCCCAGAGAACTTTGTCCAGCTTCTGGTCAATAACCGGCGGAAATCACCCGCGACTATCTCGATTGATGAGATACATGGCAATGCACTAGGCAATATTTCAGCTGGAAGTGACACGACGGCTACGGCACTCAGAGCAGCCATCTATCTATTGCTCAAGAACCCGACGGCTTACCAAACCTTGTGCAAGGAGGTCCGTGACAATCTTCAGCTACCAGTCAGTTTCAAAGAAGCAAGTAAGCTTCCTTACTTGACCGCCTGCATCAAGGAAGCTCTGCGTATGCACCCTCCCGTTGGCATGCTGCTTGGCCGCCAACCACCCAAAGGTGGCGAAGTGGTTGCTGGGTTTCATATCCCAGAGGGCATAGAGATCGGGATCAATCCCATGATATTGCACTATGACGCTGAAGTATTCCCTGGCCCATACACGTATAACCCCGCACGTTGGCTCAAGACCGAATCCAACCAAGAGCAGCTGAAGCAAATGAACCGATGCTTGATCGCCTTTGGTCATGGTCGTCACATTTGCTCTGGTCAACATATTAGCACGGTAGAGATGACCAACTTGATTGCCACATTGCTTATCAGATATGACCTCAAGCTAGCCAATGGTGGGAGGAACTACACTTTTAAGAATTTGTGGTTCATGACTCAGTCAGGTCTTGAGGTTATTTTCTGCATGAGGTGAAGTTGTAAATTCGAATTTTTATAATCAGACAGACTCGTGCTATTTGAGGTCCTGAGATAAGTTCTTTCTTCCTCAAAGCTCGCCATAGTGTGGGTAGAACTGCGATGTGATAATAACTCAATCACGGTGTAATACGAAATCTCCAAAGACAGAAAGTGTCTTCATTCGCAGTGTTCTAGTTCGGAATTGCATCTATCAGCGTAGGTTCTGTTGCTACGAAGAATTAATCAAGCAACAGCGAGCTGTGTAAATCTTTACTGACGGATTTGAGATACTGTACAATTGTAACCCGAATCGTATGAATATATAATAGGTTCTGTTAAAGGAAAAAAAAGTAATTTGTAGATGCTCGTTTGATGAAATTGCCTCTAAAGAACTAAAGAATTAGTAAAACCTAACACGTCGAGATTATTATAGTATATATTGCAAAACCATATATTTCCGTCATGATTATTTACTCTTAAGCATGTAGGAAACCTGTTTGGGTGCTGCTTCTGTTACTTCCGCCAAACATGTCTACCCTGAATAGATAACTGAAAGGAGTGATATCTTTGCATAGTTTAAGTTCTTCTTCATCCGACTAAGTTCGACTTAGACGTCAGCAAGGTCGGCCTTTTCGCCATTGGCGACATTCGAACTCTCGCGGCTGTATCCCCTCCAGCTTCTCATCGGGAGACCAATCCGGTACATTTCGTCAATCTCCGCCACAGTCCGGCCCATGGTCTCGGGCAGGTAGAAATACGCCCAGACGATAGTGACGAGGACACAGCCCGCAAAGACGTACGCCGTCTTGACACCGAGGTTGGCCGCGTCGGCACCCATAATCTGCGGCACGGCAAATGTGGTGATGACGGCGGTGGTGTACGACCAGAAGATTGACCACGCCATCGTCGGCTCGCGCAGGGCGGGCGAAGCAATCTCGGTGGGCAGAACAAAGCACCTGTCTATGGTCAGCTTGGAGTAATCTATATTTGGTTCCAGTAGGCCCGACTTACAGCGACTGGAAAGAAACAGCATTGAAGAAGCCGAACAGGATGAAGACTGCGGCCAATGCCAGCCTTTGCGTCTCGCTTGTGAGGCCCGCGGCACCCAGGCTACCGGCCGCAAGATTCAAGAGCAGGAGGATCGTGAAGCCGATCAGCGCCACCGGTCGTCGGCCGGCTTTGTCCACGAGGAACGGGCCAATCACTGTGCCAAGGAACTGCAGACTGGAAATAATGACAGTGATCTCAAAGGGATTTCCAACCCCGCTTGCGACGAGTATGACGGTCGCATATGTTAAGATTAGGATTTGGCCGCCAACCTGGGACGCGGACAGGATCGCGCCGGCGCTCAGGGTGCGCTGCAGGTTCTCCCGGTCCAGAATATGCCAGAAGTTTGACGCCTGCGTGCGCTCGTCGGCGGCTTGATACATGGAGATTTCGGCATCGACCATATCGGCTCGGTTGTTGCGAAGGGCCAGCAGTGTGCGCCGCGCAGAGTCTAGCCTGCCGTGTTGGATTTCCCAGACCGGGGACTCTGGGATTAGAAAGGTGAGGAGACACAGACCTACTGGCACGGCCGCCTGTATGGCCAAGGGTATCATGTATTGACGCTCGTCCTTAATCTTCTCCGTGCCCCAGACAACCGTGGTCGCAAGGACGCCGACGGCTGCAACACCTGCGAAGCAGAGACCAATGGCCCTACCGCGAAAGTCGGCGGGGACAAACTCGGCCAAGTAGAGAGGGGCAGTGGTTGTCAAGATACTAATACCGACATCTGCGTCAAAGTATTAGCGAAGGTGTCTTGATATTCTTCTCCATTAGGGGTCGTTTGCGCACAATTCCAGAAACGACCGGCGACTAAGGCGGCCATATTTGGCGCAAAAAGCTGCAGGAATGAGCCGGGCGTGCACAGAAGACTATAAGCAGCTAGCATGGTTTTCTTGCGGCCCAGACGCCGCATTCCCGCGGGCGCGATAAAGGTTCCTATTGCTGCGCCGACAAGGGGCACAGGGGTGAGAAGGTTCAGGTTCCGTGCCTGTCTCAGAAGCATGTCAGAGAGCTGAAAGTCAACACTGCCGCGAAGTTGGACGCCTTCTTACGGTAAAGGTGAGCCCGGGGCCCTGATATTTTTGGATGAAGAGAGGTAGCTGAACCAATGGAGCGGCAAAGTTGTTGTCGTAGCCATAGAGCCCCATGGACAAGCCGATGATGACCACTGCAGATAGAGCGATTAGCATCTTCCCATCGTCCTTACTTATGACGGAAGCTGAGACTTACTATAGCAGAACGCTGACCAGTTCAGCCAACCTTTGGCATTGTTGATATCATGTTGTGGCTCAGCAACATGTTCCGCTCGGGCTTCGGAAGCCGACTGAGACTTTGCGAGGGACATCGCTAGTAACCGAAGTGAGTAGTTGAAAGAAAGTTGGAAGAAGTGCCTTGCAGGTTTCGTTGCAAGACTGACGAAGAATGGAACTCTGGGACCCTGGGGAACCTGGTTCTTGTTATATTTCCTCTGCAATCCCCGGGTTTTCATGCAGCTGGCACTCAGCTTTGCTGTAAAACAATTTGACTTCTCTGTTGCCCCTCAGTCATACATGTATGTGGTGTGGGCTACCCAAGGGTTACCCCAGGGCTAGGCAACTTGGGGAAAACCCAAAGTGGTAAGGCAAAGTCAGTCCTAGATCATGGATCACGAGACGCATGACATGACTAGATGAGAAAATCCCCATTGGGAAATACACCGGTTTTAGTATGGACGTGAATCAGTGCGAGCCACGAGCCCATCACTCATGCCGCCAAGGGAGGGTCGACCAACCTCAAAAGAAACAACATCTGTTGATTCCAGCCCAGCATCAGCACCTTTGTAGTAACGCCGAAACCCAGATAGTGTAATTTGGTGTTTATTTCTCATTGACAAAATGACCAATATTGATGGTTCACATGTGGATGCGGCAACGCTCCGAGCCATCGCCATGGCTCTGGGTATGGACCCAGATGCAAGACTCGCACAGCAGAAGCCCGACGAGGATTTCCTACAGGTAGATATTTCAAGCGGATCATCACACACGGAATGCCCACTAATGTGAAGATAAAATCCTAGGAGATTGCGAGATTGCCCGTCAACTTTGCCAGCATACCCTCGGGCATAGACGTCCACGGAATGCGTGAATGGATCAACAATGTCATGGTAAAAGGGCCGCTGGCCGAGCACAGAGCCAAGCTTGACATCAAACTGCGCCGACCCCCTCAAGAAGTGGGCAAGAACATCATCACCCTCAAGGCTACGGACGGTGACGGCGAGTACGGGATCTGGGTGTACGAACCAATAGGCGCAGGAGTTCGGCGGCCAGCTATATTGATGCTTCACGGCGGCGGTTGGATCCATGGGAACCCTGCCGGTGACGAAGGTGAGCACTCTCTTCCCCAGCCAAGTAAGAAACACACAAGCTAAGGCTGTCAAGCACTTGCCCAAGTGTTCGCGTCTGAGCTGGATGCTGTCGTCTTTGGCATCGACTACCGGCTCGCACCGGAGCACCCGTTTCCAAAACCACTCGACGACTGCAGTGATGCTTTGCAATGGGTATGTAACCTCTCTTTGCAACTTCTGTTGTTGAATCCTTGGCTGAATAATCCGGCAAGGTGATTGAAAATGCACCGACTTACAACATCGACATCAACCGGATTGGTGTATGGGGTGCTTCTGCCGGAGGAAACCTCGCTGCCGCCCTCGCCTTGCGCTGCGCAAAGGAGGCACCCACCGCGGAGAAGCCGGCATTGGCCCTAGTTAGTTTGGTCGTCCCTGTCACGGCGCACCCGGAAGCTGAAGCAAAGTTCAGCCAGCAGAGGTCTCTCCCGGCAAGCGAGAGTGAGCAGCAGTTTGTGGACGCCACCCCAGTCTCGGAAGCACTTGTTCAAGAGTTCGAGAAGCTATACAGTATGCCCCCATGCTCGTAAATGGTATTAGTCTCCCGGTTGCTCTACTTACACATCTCGCAGACTTCTTCACAGGCGGTGTTTGCGACCCGCTTGACCCTTTGGTGTCTCCCCTGGCTACCGGACCTGTTCCACACCACGCTCGAACCTCCATCACCGTGGCGGCCTGTGATGGTCTCAGGGCTCAGGGCCAGGCCTATGCAACCCTGCTGCGATCATTTGGTGTAGACGTGAGCGAGCAGGTCCTGCCGGGCGTTCCGCACGGGTTTACGATGCCGGTCAATGCTACCGTGACAAAGCTCTGGCATGAAAAACAAGTGGAAGAGTTTGCCCAAGCGTTTGGGCTCTAGTTCTCGTCAATTGACGGCATGTAGATGAGAATAAATGAAGTTTCCATGCAGGGCATGTGCTACTATGTTATTTGTATGAACTGCTTTTCATAGGTAGTCTACTTAACTAAAACTCGTCTTGATTTATATTCCTTTTTTGAATCTTTAGAATTCTAAGTGATTGCAATCCGAAAGCATAAGACTCGAGGACTCGAAAGGGCCACCTTGAATAACATCGCTAAAAACAAGGGGTTGGATGATGGGAAACTGTCGAAGCACCTGCTCCGTCTCTGGACTGCTTGGTGCGCCTTGAGTAGTCGAGGGCGCCATCATGCTGTAGCGAAGTTCCCGGTCTTGAGGCATCTCCATCATAGGCGGCACGTCATACGCCACCGAGAGGACCAAGTCCGCCAGAGGGAGCGCAAACTTCCCTTCATAGTCTTCCTTCATCACGGCGCCGGCCAGCCCGCGAAGGGAGTCTTCATGACCGCCGCCTGGTAGCCTGAAGATGTTGATGGCCAGCTCAGCGAGTTTCCCTAAGCCAACGATCCTCAGCTCGCCCTGCTTGAGGCCGCATATCCATGACATGGCTACGACACCCAAAGACTCCATCATTGACGTGGGTGGCCTTTCTCCGCCGCTGCTTTCTTGGTAGCTGGCGATTATCTTGCACGAGAGCTGCCACTGCCGGGTGACCATGACATCGGCCGACTGGATCCTCGAATATCGATGCTGCCCGAGGCTGGATAAGACGGCGTCAGATCCGAGACTCACTTTACTAATATCGTCGGCGTTCCTTGCTAAATGTATGCGCGTCAGACAGTAGAGCAGCTCGCCGGCAACCCCGCCCAGTCTTTCACCAGTGTCGACTCCTCCCACTCGGCCCGGGACGATGTCTGAGCAGGTCGGTCGCTTCCTCGTTTGCAGCTTCTTCTCCTTGCTCCCGTATATCGCCAACGTGGCAGACTCTGTGTTGTGAAGAACCTGCTCAACCCGCAACTTCCTCTGCTGCTCGTCGTATCCAGATGGCTCGATATGGTCAAAGAGGACTTGCGCCTCGTTCAGATGTAGAAAAGCTCGGCCGTGCTTTGCTAGCACGCTATTGGCGGTGAACAATGCTAGAGAGCAGAAGACGGCATCCAAGGTCGCCGGATCGGCAAAGTCGTATGCCTGCCGGGATGATTCGACTTCAGCTATACGCTGCACGACTTCGTCTCCGTTCTGATGGTCCATGCGGTAGCGCGCAGCTGAGTTGAGAAGCCGAATCGAGTAGAGTAGCGTCCGCAGGTCTGGCACAGTTTCCCAGTTGGGCTCCATGACCAGACGCGAGGCAAGTTTAGCGTAGGACACGACGGGGAAGATCAAATATGTCGTGTCAAAGAACTCGTCGATTGATTCCCAGATTTCGGGTCTTTGGTGAGTGGCAGTTTCTCCAAAGGGTCTGCCATCCGGAGGGTAGATTTGGTTCGAGGTTAGTTCGACTCCATCCAGCACTGAGTCCTCGCCAACACAATCTGGGGTCGCGATGCCATAGGTAGTTCCATCCGAGGCGGATGATGGTGTGTGTTCTCCCCCTTCATCTTGGCCGGAATTCCGTGATGGTCCTACATCATCCCCAGCATATGGAGAGACACTGTAAGTACTAGACAGCGACCTCGGTGTGGCTGGGAGGGTGCTGCTAGAACCGAAAAATTGCTCTGAAAATGTATCTCGTGGTCTACGGATCTCCCTAGAGTGGGCTTCAGCACGTCATGTCTGAGAAGGGAATACAGTCACACCCACGCTTTTTTAGGCCGGCCGCGCCTGGCGGGAAGGTCGGTACGGGTGCATTTCGACTTTGCGAGCCAGCACTGCTCACAGGGGGTCGAGCGTCGAGGCGAGGAGCAAGACGGGACTTGACGAGCCTGGCACTGAAAACGGAGGATCAGACAAGAGCGCATACTCGCTTGGACCACTGAAGTTCACCTTGATTTTAAGTCTGCGGCATGAATCGCAAGCCCGCACACTGGCGCCGTCATAAGGACGCACTGTGGCATTGGAGAGGGAGAATGTGGTAAACATGGGCACTGTCGATAGCGCTGATGATAGCTACATACAGCACTGATGGCTCTTCTCACGGCACGAGTCTGTGTGAGGTTTCTGGAGGCATGGCACAGGTGATAAGGTGAAAAAGAACGGTCTCTCGATTGGCGTGTGGACTGCCCCCTCATTGCTCTCGCCTCCATGTGGAACTGGCACCATCTGACAAAGACGGACTACTGTCGTAAAAGCACTTCTCATAGACTTGCCTTTTCCCGATTAACCATATCTCATCACATGACTATTATTGTATCCGTCGATCCAATCGATGGTGGAAGGGACAGCCGTGATCAATTCCTGCTACTCATGGTAACGCACATTACGTACACCGTTAGAGAGACTTTGGATACACAAACATTCACCCTCTATCATAAAAGAGAATAGACTCATGGTCCCAATTCAACTACGCCTTGTCAAGCTAGCCCGTTTACTACTCGAAATGGCCGCATGGAGTTAACCGCTTATTTCCTGCCTTGCAGCCTGCAGGGAGCCTGTGTGCGGGGACGAGCTGAAAATGACTTTCCCCATGGGGAATTCTCGATTTGGAATATTCCCCAAGGCATGACACTTGCGAGTTGGTGCCAAGGTCTACCCCAACACCAATAGATCATCACCAGTGAATGATGATGGCAAAGTCATAATAAATTCCTCTCTCAAAAGGCCAGACCGCCGGGTTAATACGCTGCTTCTTGACATTGCCATCTTGGACTACCTTTGCGGAATGGCCTCATCCGGGAAGCCAGCCTACACAGGCCAAAGACGCACCGTTTCCCATCCTAAACTTGGGCAGCTAACCGGGCGAGTAGTTGAGCCTGTGGAATTCCCAGGCTTCTCGGTCGTGCAGTTCCGTTCAGTTCCTTACGCCACGATCCCGAAGCGCTTCTCGCCGTCGATTCCGCTGAAAGATATACCGTCTAACTTCGACAGAAGACCGAGTCGGGACTTCACCAATTACGGCGCCGCATGTCCCCAAGTTGGCGGCGCACACCCATCCTGGTGCGATCCTTACGGCGGTCCCCTGCAAGATGATTTGAATCTGGAGTTTGACGAGTTCACCTGCCTCACGGTGTCCATCTCCGTGCCCGAGTCACAGTTGGTGTCGAACCCGGACACAGACCCGGACCCAAAGCTACCGGTGATGGTCTATATCCACGGTGGCGGCATGTCCGAAGGCATTGGCCATGTCGACGGCCTGCACTCAAATGCACCCATCACGTCCTATGCGGCATCCATTTCGCAGCCCGTCGTTGCCGTCAACATCGGCTATCGTCTCGGGTGGTTTGGCAGTCTTGTGTGCGAGGACGTGCTCGACGAGTTCACCGCCGACCCTACGAGCCCCTACGGACCGTTCAACCTGGCCATGCAGGATCAGCGAAATGCATTGGCATGGATTCGCACATTCATTGGCGGATTCGGCGGCGACCCTTTAAACATCACAGCTTTCGCCGAGTCCGCTGGTAGCGCATTCCTCACCTACCACATCTGCGGCTCTTCGACCCGCCTCTTCGACCGGGCCATATTGCAGTCTGGCCTCATCTTTGGCAACGTTCCATTCGACGTCAAGGAGGCCGAGTACCAGGCTATGCTGAAGCACCTCGGGATTAACAAGGAGACTGCGCCAGAGAGGCTGGATGCTCTACGGCAGGTCGATGTGCAGACCCTGCTCATGCTCCCTGGCTGCCACATGACGCCTTATGTTGGCCCTATTCCCGGCATCAGCACCGAGGCGTCACTCTTCTCAAGAGGTACCCCTACTGTTCTAGACCAGATGGACCTTGTTGCCACTTGCGACTGGCTGGGCGATGTGATTATCGGCGATGACTTCTGGGAGGGCCAGCTGTTCTTCCCTCTGTTGCAGGCCTGCGACCAAGTCGAATTTGCAGAGACGGTCCAGTCACTATTCCCCGCATCTGAGGCCGAGGCACTGCTGGCCGCATACCAGCTACCGACGAAAGATCGGCATCGCGGCGCAGTGCAAGTCTCGCTTCTCCTGGGCGACCTCATGTTCTCCGTCCCGTGCCACGAGCTTGCCAAGCGCTTGGCAAAGCAAGGCCAGAGCAGGAAACGCAACGTCTATCGATACTCATTCTGCCTCTCGAACCCTTTCCCCGGTAGCATCTGCGGTCTTGTACCCGGCCACCACTTTGTCGAGATTCTGTTTGTCTTCTTGACATTGCAGGAGCGGTACCCAACTCACCGCGACGGATGGGCAGTCCGCCAGGCCCAAGAGACGGCACGTCGGTGGATAGCCTTTGCGAATGGCCGTCCCCCGTGGGATCCATGCTTCACCGATGGGACCACTAGCGAGAATGAGGCCAAAATTGCCATATGCGATGACCTGTCAGGATGGTCGGTGCGGACCTTGAAGGAGGACGAGGAGCTGAGCAAGAATGACCCCTGGGGCGAAAGAAGATATGCGGCGTGGAGAGAAATCTCCCACGCCTTGGACTCGTTGAGAAATGGAGCTGCTGACGCTGCTGACCGAAACCATAGGCTCACTATGACGAGGCTGCGGTTACTGCAATTCGCATACGGCAGTGGTGGGCTACTAAAAGTGTCAGGATTATAACTCTATGTGTAAATTAGCTTGACTGTGTTATCTATTCTGTTCAAGTTTCTCCTATAAAACTATCTATAATGTTCTAGCCATGTCCCCTTATACCTAAATAATTACAAACAGATAGCTTGTTTCTCAGAAGAAAGTATGTTTTTAGTCGTTCCAATATACTTTGTTTCTTCAACTAATCTAAACTTATCTCACCATACCTATGGACCATGCTGAGGGATAATTGAAGAAGCTATAATTATACTGTGTAAGATCTGTGAAGACGCTACATGGGATCTTCATATACACTTGTAAAGGCGTGAAAGACTAGTCAGTACTGTCAGATAGACCTTTGAATTCCTCAATGGAAACAGCCAAGGCAGAGAAGGAGTATAGAACTTCTAGTCCGCCGCCTTAATTCCAAAGTAGCACCGCCTTAATACACTTTCCACTCTGAAGATCCTCCTTGGCTTGGGCCAATTCTTTAAATGAATACTTCTTAACTAATTTATCGACCGGTAATTGACCGTCTTTCCACATTTGAATAAGACGGAGAATAAACTATTACCGTTGTTAGCTTATCTTGATCATGAAATTGACAAAAGCGCAAAACAAGGATAAGGATAGGATGACATACCTCCTGAGGAACCGAATCGCCTTGGTGAGTTCCAGCATAGCTGATACCCTGTGCGATATACAAGGCTGGCGTGATATGAACCTGTTTGTCTACAGATGGAGCGCCGACAGTGGCGGCAATCCCCCGTGGGCGAACACAGTTCAACAGCGAGTTTTGAATTATGGTGATGTTACCCGTCGTATCCATTGCACGATCTGCGCCAAGTCCTCCGGTCAATGCTTTGATCTCGGCGACGGTGTCGGCCACTTCTCTTCCGTTGATAACATGGGTAGCACCAAACTTCTGGGCGAGTTTGAGCTTAAAGTCGACAATATCAACAACGATGACCTTTTCAGCAAAGGTGGTATGTGCTGCCATGACCGCTGCCATCCCCACTGCTCCTGCACCGAAGATAACAACCGAGTGGCCTTTCTCAGGCCTAAGCACGTTGAGCATAGCTCCAGCTCCAGTTTGGATTCCGCAGCCTAAAGGAGCAAGGAGTTCCATCGGGAGGTCATGAGGAACAACCACTGCGGAACTAGCTTTTACGATGGCCTTTTGGGCAAAGGTGGACTGCCCGAAGAAGAAGGATGAAACTGGTGCAGCTGAACCGTCCTCACCCACTGGTAGGGCCGTAGAGAGATATGGACGACTAGCGTCTACGCGAACTCCTGTGAAGTTGTTCGCCCATAGGTTTTGACAATAAGGCACAAGGCCACTATTGCAGGTTGTGCAGCTTCCACAGGCGCTATACGTGAGCAGGACGTGATCGCCTGGCTTGACATGTTTCACTGCAACGCCAACCTCTTCCACCACACCAGCACCTTCATGGCCACCAACGAATGGGAACGCCATGGGAAAGAGACCCTAGATTAAGCAATGTCAGTTATTTCAAATCGCTAGTGTATCAAGCATTCTCACGTTACTTACATTGCAAGCGGAGAAATCGGTCTGACAAATGCCAGTGGCAACTAATCGTACAATAATCTCATCACTACGCTGGTCATCTCTGATGATGACTTGCTGTAGTTCGTAGTCTGAGCCCTTGGATGGGCAGACATACATTGAGACGGTTTCAGGCATTGCTTCCCAGTTAAGATATATGGTGTAGTATAAAAGAAGGCTATAAGCTTTTAGTGGTATGAACAGCTAGCATTTGAAGGCTTGAGATGTTTTAAAGAAAGATGAGAGGAAATTTTGCGCTAAGATTCAATGATGAGATACACCGAGGATTTGGACTACGTTGTTTCCACAACACGAGCCACCCCATTAGCAATGTAAGCGTCGGCCGAGGTGTAAAATTTGCGGGACATGCCGACTTTCGGGAGAGTGCTTATGTTTGGGCGGGCATCATGTAAGGCCGGAAAGCCGGAGGGCGCGGGGCGTTCGGCACCAAGATGGATATAATAAGTTTTTGATCATAGCCTGAATTCCATTGAGTCATTTGTTTTTCTCGGCCATTTTATTGTTCTTTGTAAGGATTCGCGCGGTGGAAAGAGAGATGCGCACCCCGAGCGACGCCAGCTGGAGGTGGCTCGCTGTGACCGTGGAGGCGAAGAATTTAAGCCGACACTGACAAATTAACCAAGCGGTGGAGGGGGTGAAGCTGTAACTTTCATACACTATAAATCAATTCCCATTTACTTTAAACATAAAGAGCGTAAATCCATAGTAAGGTCAAGTTTTATTCTTTCAACACGTAGTTTACTCTAGCGCCACTCGAACGAGCTTCTTGTTCACAAATTCGTTGAATCCAATGTAGGACAGCTCCCTGCCAAAACCAGAGTTCTTCACTCCACCAAAGGGAATATCTGGACTCGAGTAAGCCGATCCATTAATGAATACCATGCCTACATCCATCTTTTCCGCGATCACCTTTGCATAGGGGATGTCTGTAGTCATTATGCATGCTCCCAACCCAAAGCTAGTAGCGTTGGCAAGTTCGATGGCATCAACCTCGCTTTCCACTATGTATATACTCAAAATAGGGCCAAATGTCTCTTCTTGGAAAATCGGGTTGGTCGGCGCAATATCCGTCAGAACCGTGGGCTCCATGTACCAGCCAGGTCGGTCGATTTGGCTTCCACCATATGCCACTTTTGCACCAGCGGCTCTTGCCGCCCCGACTTGTGCAAGCAAACCTTGCAGAGCCCTGTCGGAGGAGATTGGTCCGAGGGTGGTCGATGGATCGCTTGGATCGCCTGGTTTGAGTGAAGCAAACGCGCTTACTACGGCCTCAGTGACTTGACGACCTCTCTCCGTGCCAATGACAATAAGTCTCTTGACGGCGGCACATCCTTGGCCCGTGTTGAACATTCGGGAGTTCACCGTAGTAGTGATAGCTTGATCCAGGGGGGCATCGGGGAGAATCATGAGCGCGTCGGAACCTCCCAGCTCAAGCACGGCTTTCTTGACATTGCGCCCAGCGCGCTCAGCCACAGCGGCGCCGGCTCGAGTGCTGCCAGTAAAGGTGACTCCACGGACCCTAAAGTCGTCCAAGAGACCTCCCAGCTGTGCGACGTTGGCGAAGATATTTGTGTAGACTCCTTCTGGAACCCCAGCGTCGACAAATAGTTGCGCAAACTTGAGTGAGCATTGCGGAACACTGGGAGCAGGCTTCGCAATTAAGACATTTCCAGCCATCAGCTGCGGGGCAGCGACACGGGCCAGTTGAAGATAGGGAAAGTTCCAAGGCTCGATGGCAAGAATGACGCCAACAGGCTCCGACCAAATTTCGCATCCAGGGTTGGATGCGACAATCTCCGGCTGAAGGAGCTTTTCTGCCTCGGCTGCAAAGTATTCGAACATGTCGACGCACCAACCGATCTCGAGCTTCAACTCGAATATAAGTTTGCCAAGCTCTCTAGCAGCACACTGGGCGAGCTCGTCAGTCCGCTCTCGCATGAAAGCGGCCACTCTGGCCATAAGACGGCCTCGTTCGGCAACTGGTAAAGGACGCCAGACATTCTTATACGTGTCATTAGCCTTTTGAAGAGCAGTCTCGACCTCAACGTCAGATAACTCGGCAAAAGTTTGAAGGTGCTCGGCAGTCGCTGGATTGTAACTCTGAAACTCGCTTTTAGTAGCCATGGTGGTATTGTAATAGAAGATCGGACTTTATATAATTCGAGGTAGAAATCAATGGCAAGCCAGTAGGCATAAATCGCTGCTGTCTTTCCACTGTGTAGAAGTAGGATCTCTTCCTTGATATATGTCCATTTCTTGAACAAACTATGGAAGTGACCATCCACCTTACTAATCCTGCTGGGTTTCGACAGGTTGCATACATTAATTATCCAACGCCAATGCGCGAAATGCAGCCGTGACCGAAAATCCGTACATCTGTCGCCGAGAAGTTGACCCTTGACTATGAGAGCAGACTAAGTGGAGGCATGCCATTAGTTAATTGCTTACACATTGAGAGTATTTCGATCAAAGGCATGCTTAACCTTATGTGGTAGCTTCTACGCATAAGCTGAGCTAGGTACCTACTACGCATGCTTGCAAGCCCCGTTTCCATCGTGCTGGGAAGTTGGGCACAAACGCCCTTCAAGGCCCCGTTTGGTCTCTATGCCTCCTTCAATCTCTTGGCCTAGCTAGGACATTCAAATAGCGGTCTGATGGTTAATTCCATACCAACGACAGCAATTACGATCGAGCAAAGCGAGGGGTGCCCAAAGACAATGGCCAACAACCAACACTCTGACTTCACATTTGAAGCGTAGTTGTGCTACAAGTGCAAGCCTGAGTGATAAGCAAATACCGAGCGGACCGGAAGATGACTCAAGCTTACTTCGACCTACAGTTCAAATTGGCAGGCAATTCATTGACATAAGTGACAGATGATGAATCCCCGTCGGCTCGCTTACATCCCGAGACCGACGCTACCCCCTCTCGCCGATGCATGCGGACTTCCATTGCGGTTTCTAATGCATTTCTAGGGTACTAAGATGAGGGGGGCTTATGATATTGCGAAGATCCACACGCAATTGGAAAGATATTGAGGGCAAGATGAGGCCGGTCTTAAAACGATCCTCGGCCCCGATTAGAGTGAGCCGAGTCCGTCAAAAAAAATACACATATCTGCCCTCCACCAAACAAGTCTCAGCACCAGGGTTCCCAAAACTGCCCGACCAACGCCTACCATGCCAGCGTTAGATCGCTTCTTAGATCTACGCCGTGATCCGGCCTCGGCTGCGCATGCCTGTCCAGACGTCACCCTGGCCCCTAGAGCGGTCCGGTCTTGCCAACCATGCAACCGCCGTAAAGTTCGCTGTGATAGGAGAGAGCCATGCTCGGCTTGTCAAAAGACCGGGATAAGGTGCATCTACCTACCGATAGGCACACCACCTCCACGGGGCATCAAGAGAGGGCTGAAGGCTGGTATGGTTGCACGGATTGCTGAACTGGAGAAGGCATTGAGCATCGTGGCCAGCACGAGGAAGGATGACTTGCTGCCTGTCTCATATCTCGATCAACCGCAAAGCGTCCGACCATCAGATGATCAAGCCCAGCTCACATCGAGTCACCTGCCACATGAACAGCAGGACGCATCTGGGGACCATATCCACCAAGCTGATATCCTCCTCCAGGAAGATGCGGCAAGTCGTTACTTTAGTGATGATGTTTTATCAAGAGTCGTCAATGAAGATCGCAATCATTCGAGCACTACATTGACAGTATCACCTATCAAAATAAATCCTCCACCTATGGACAGCTCCTCGCCCTTCAATCCTCTAGGGATATTGTCCGTGCCCGGCATGCTTCATCCCCCATATGCTCTTCATCCGACCAAGAGTGTAGCAGCTTTGCTATGGAGACAATATGTCGAAGTTGTGGAGGAATGTGCAAGCTGCAAGATACTTCATGTTCCTACGGATGAGATTACCGTATTCAGCACTATCGAAGACCCCTCTTCAGCTTCAGCTGAGAACCTTGCACTGTGTTTCGCTATATACTTCGCCTCGTGCGCTTCTCTAGAAGCTCGAGAAGTAGAAAGTATATTGCATCAAGATGGCTTCCAAGGCGCACTAGCCCTGAAACACGGCTTTGAGCAGGCGTTGGCTCACTCGAACTTCTTGGACATGCCCTCAGATACAACTATTAAAGCACTGACTATTTATATTGGTGCATTGAATATTCAACATCGAGGTAAAGGTACTTGGATTGTCAACGGACTCGCCATGCGTGCCGATCGCTCGCTCGGGTTTCATGTCGATGGTAGACGTCTGGCAATATCACCCTTCCGTGCGGAAATTCGGCGTAGGATATGGTGGTGCCTCAATGTTTTTGAGAGACGCGCCCATGAAGACTACGGTTTGCCGGGCGCAAGTGATAGCGTCCAATCTCCGTCCGTCAATTTACCACTAAATGTGAATGACGAAGACCTGTATCCAGATATGGATAGCCTGCCACAGCCGCGTGAGGGGTGGACGAGCATGACACCCACACTCATCAATATTGAAGCTTTCACTACTATCCGAGAGTGTACAGCCCACTCATCGGCGGAAAACTCTCTGGAAGATGTTCGGCAGCAGATCATGGCGCGTGGCAGAGATGTTGTCAACAAATACATCCAGCACGCTAAGCTCGTCGTGCCCCGCCAACGCCACATGATCCTTGTCTCGAGGTTTGTGCTGCGCAAGCTCGACTTCGACTCACGGTTGAAATGGCAGATTCGAAGATCTGGGGCGTCACCCGACCAATTTATAACGGAGGAGAACATGGTCGAGGCACTTGAAGTCATGGATCTCGCTCGTTCCCTGTATACCGATGAGTTGCTAAAGAAGTACGCTGTTTCGTCCCGGGCCTATACTCAGTATAATATCAAGCTCTACATACTGTATCATCTCTTTATCAGGCCGCTTAGCCCAAATGCTGAGCGCGCTTGGAAGCTCATCGACGATCAGGTGGCTCCTTGGAGCGGTTTCGATGCGGAAATCGTGGGCCCCAAAGCTGAGTTTCTTCAAACATTGCTTACTAGGGCTAAAGAACACAGGGCCAGGGCGTTCACAGAGCAGGCGACGAGTTTGGGAGATAAACAACTTGTTGTTATCGCGAGCCATTGTGAACTTGCGAGCGGCCATTTAGGTGATATAAGCACAGGCGACAACTGGTCGAGTCACCTTACCATACCATCAATTATTCAGGGGGGGTTTCTCGATGACACTATATTTCAACAGCTGGACTGGACAGCTCTTAGTATGAATTAATGGACTAGTGCTTTGGAGCCTTCCAGTAGTATAAGGTGGCTATATACACTGTTTATTCAGATAATTAATGTCTTGGAACTTGCTTAAATCCAGAGTTTTGTCCATTTAGTCGATATTGCTATTTGCTTTAAGTTACATACACACCCTTGGTAAACGAACGTGTTTCTGTTAATTCTAACCGGCCGCAGACTTCTCTCTTTCCTCTCTACCGGTGGTGAAGATCTTTATTGCTTGCAGTGGAGGCTATTGTGATTTCCAGCTTCAAATTTGTCCGCTCTACAGTCCGCTCTCTAGTCCGCTGAACAAGGTATATTTTGCGCTACTCCATCTTAGCTGGGCCGAAGGATTCAGTAATGTACAATAGTTGGGCAGATATCTCCGCTTGCTAGGTTGCGTTATACGAATTCAGTTAAGTGGGTAAAGGCGAATATGTGAGCCACCTGGAACCTTGGTACCAGCGGACGCCAAAAACTCGAGCATGCATGGTGTTCTGACACGTGTATGATAAATGTGGGAGCGGGCTCGGCAGCGGACTCGAGAGCGGACGCAAGCGGGGGACAGGGGTCTGTTTACTTCAGCCAACTGAACAAATACCTTACTAGCTACGGATATCTACCTACCTTTCCTGAATAGTATAATATTTATATCTTAAAATAAAATTCTTTAATATAGCTTAGGAAATAGTAGTTAGAAAAACAGTATATATAAATCTCTTGATCCACTACAATTTATTTCAACCTCTTTAACTAATTATCACGTGAGTTATAAACAACAGTCTCCATATCGCTTGGCGTGGAGAGTTGGGGCGGGGTAAAACATTGCGTGCGTGGAATATCTTGACTATGCTATTAACCTAAGTCAACTGAACTGCTTCCCTTGATATCTACTAGCACAGACCTCATTATACCTAAACAATGGTTGACAACAGCCACATGCCTTACGAGCTTACCCTGCACCCTCAAAGCGAAGTTCACAATGAATTACAGAGGACAGAGAGTCGAGAAGTAACACACTCGTCGATTGATACCCCTTCAAGGGACCCTGAATCGGAGTTGGAGGCCTGGCTATGCGTTATAGGAGCATTTGCTTTCGCGCTTCCCTCTTATGGTGAGGCTGAGCAAAGCATTTTCATTTGAAATAGTAGATTAACGTTGCTTTTTCTAGGATTCATGCAATCTGTTGGCACTATCCAGTCGTACCTTCAACTGAACCAACTTCAGGATTATTCAGTTGGTCAAGTCGGATGGATTCCAGGAGTCTATCTCTTTCTCACATACTTCTTCGGCATCCAAATTGGACCCATCTGTGACTATGGAGGACTTATGCCCGTTGGCGCTATCGGCGTTCTCATGACTATTGCATCATTCTTCATCCTGGCCGAATGCACGGCTTATTGGCACTTTATGCTATGCCTCGGCTTACTCGCAGCACTCGGCAGTGCCACAATATCAACACTCGGCATGTCCGTTGTGGGCAAGCTCTTTGTCCGACGACGTGGATTAGCTATGGGCATTGCCTTGACGGGTTCAGCGGTTGGCTCCATCATCTTGCCGCTCATGCTCCGTTCGCTTCTACCAGGTATAGGTTGGAAGTGGACAATGAGGGTATTGGCGTTCACGATTGCCGGTATCACGACGCCAGGTCTCTTGTGTTTCTTGCCCTCGCAGCGTCTCGCCGCTCGTGCCCCGCGGCAGCGGCTCCATAACAGCCAGGCTCTGCTAGACTTTACTGCCTTCCAGTCGCCGGCGTTTACCTTCATGTCATTGGGATCTCTTCTTCTGGAGTTCGTAATTTTTGGTATCGCTGGCCTACTGCCAACGGTCGCTACAAAAGCAGGATTTACCCCAGAAGATGGTTACTTGATGATAGTTGTTCTGAGTGTCTGTTCTTTCGTCGGGCGCATCCTGCATGGCTTGGCTGCTGATTGGCTGGGTCCATTTAATGTCTTGCTGATGACCATCACATTTACCATTGTCTCAATGGCGGCATCATTTATACCATTTACAAACCAAGCAGGAGCATCCCTATTTGTGTTCTCTGCCCTATGGGGATTTGGATCGGGGTCGTTTCTGTCTATTCCGCCTGGTAGGTTAATACCACAGTGTGAAAATTTCCATTGCTAACAGCTATAGTCTGCCTAGGAGCAATATGTGCGGTAAAGGATTACGGGAGATACTATGGTACATATCAATTATATTCCACAGCTGCTCTGCTCTGTATATACTGACCTAGTCTAGGAACCATTACCTTCTTCTGTAGCTTTGCTGTGCTGCTATGTATACCGCTCGGCGGTGTTATGCTGGATAATCTAGGAGCACAAGCTTTAGCAGGACTTTTGACAGCTATTATAGTCTTAGGTGCAGTATGTTATGGGATAGGTCGAGCCTTGGTTGCTGGAAAATGGTTGATGGTGACGATTAAGGTCTAACTTGTCCATAGCACGCGCCGATGTTTCTTTCTAAGAGTATAATGTGCTATAGCAGTGTGGTGTAGTAAGTATAAGGTTAAGAGATAAACGTAGTTACACTTCTCATACTAGATATAATCTACCCAAAGGAACCACCAAAGGGCGGAGCGATGATATTTTTTTCATAGCAGACAGAGTGACTTGCCTCACCTGAAATTGTTATTGTATTCGGTAGTGAGAGAGTTTCATCCGTGAGCACTTGCTCGAGGACCGAATCAACACTTGTTTAGTTGCGTCTGTGTCCACTGATAATAGAGAAAAGGCTGCGGGTCAAGCAATTTCGTCTCTCTGCCTTTCAACCCTTATAGCAATAAAATTCTAACATTAATAACGTAAGAGAAAGAGAGTAAAGGTGAACAGCCATGGAAGAAACCAGAGCTCGACAGCTCAGTATGATAAATACGAAAGCTTAAAATGATAGCCTTTTCTAGTCTAAGATATAGTTATGCGCAAGGAAAAGTCTGTGATACCTTACTTGCTATCAGGACAAGCAGCTTACCGGAACATTAATAACACTTTGCCGTTTTAATATATTGTAAAATCACTTTAATACTATCAATATGCCCCTGAAGCAGCAACTAGATATATATCGGCTGATGTTCAGCGTTATTAAACATTAAACAGTTCTTAGTCCCATCCCTCCGACCACTTAAATATTGTCCTTTTGATATCAAGGATATCAAGTATAGATCAATAAAAAAAGATTTTATGCTATACTCTAGGGGATAAGCGTCCCCGAAGAATAAGTTAATTCTTTTTGGTATGATTATAATCTATTCTTTTAAATACTTAAGAGTATCTACGGAAAATAAAGAAAAAGCTCATTATACCTACCGTAGAAAATTTAATAGGAGAAGCAAGTTTTTATATAAACTACACAGGCCAATTTGATAAACTGCATAAGCGCAAAGAAACAGCTCTTGGGCGCATAGATTACCGTCCTTGGTGTCTGATAATCCTAGAATCTCAGACATTTCGTTAAAATAAGAATACTTCTAGCTGCCATTGACATGCGTCAAGTCACCACCCAACTTGTTCAGCTTGGCCGACCAGACAATGTCGACCCACGCCATTGAGCGTAGGTTATCCATTATGAAATTCCATCGCAGACCCCGTTCCATCATGGTGTGGTTTAATTGGACTATCATCCAATGCCTTCCACATCCTACTTCGGTCACAGCCCCAAAAGCCAGCACAAACAACTCGACCTGTTCTAAACCCGTCCAGTCGATGATAAGCGCCTTGAGAAGGTTTGATAATTTCCAGCTTATGTGAGAAGCCACCGGATTGGAGAACTTATTACCAGCCACAAACATCACGGGCCCGGACAAATACAGGATTGCTGCTAGGCGAAATGCTTCGTAAGCCGCTTCAATGGGCGTCAAAGGATTAGCGTCATCATGTATGGCTCGTTCGTTGAAGCGAGGCAGGGTTAAGGTAATATATACGATGGCGTGTAGTGTCTCCATCAGCGCTAGATCTTGACTTAGCCCAAGCTCCGACTTTCCAGCGACCGAGTTCGATAAGCTGAGGAGCAGCTTCAAAAGAACTGTGATACTTGCGGATTTGGGACAATTCATCTGTAGCCCTTCAAGAGATTCTTGGAAAGCGCTGTCTTGTACATGTCGAGCCTTGGTCGGGCCGGGCTGGTCCAATGCGAAATAGGGAACTTGGTCTGTAGCCATGGAACCGACCAGATCGGTCCTGTTCATGTTAACAATGATACGGGGATAGCTCTAAGGCAAATATACACACCAAGTTGCCGTAACTCGCAGATAGCGAGAACCAAGACTGTGTATACCACCTCGATATTGGATCATCTTCTGCAGCCCTAGCATGTGCATTTTCCAGCGAGTAAAGTTGTCGGTAAATAACTATTAATACCAATTAGCCTTTACACTTAAAAAATTTCTTATTTGTGGAAGCTGACATCGTAGCTCGCTAGATTCACGACTACACCAATAATAGCTTCATGGGCAGCGAGTCCTGTGCTTTCAAGCCGATCCTTAACTACTCCAATCGATGCGTTATAATGAGATAAGGAGTATTGATTCTCTCGGGATCTTTGACCTCCGTTTCGCTCCGGGTCTATTTCAAGACGAGCAAGAACCAGATGTAGAGCACCGTCGTCGATGAAGGCAAGGGTGAAGCAAAGCTCTCGCATCAGAGCACAGACGGGCGATTCCGGCGCCGCAGCCACTGCATGGTATTAGAACACATGTGATTTTCTAGAAAGGGTACATATGAATCGAATAACAGCTAACAGAAATGGAGCATCTTGCTTGTGCGGGCGGTCACAATATGGGAACTCGGCCTTTTATGAAGGCTTTGGGATGGAGCTGGAGCCAGCGTATATCGAGAAGCCGCCGAGGCAGACAGTGCTTGCAGGCTCTGGTTGTCAGGACTGGGATTGTCTAGAGGTTCCTGCGGGCTTCGACCTGCGTTTTTTGAGTGCTGTGGCCCATGTCTATCTGGTTTGAAAGTCAACTCGACTTTCTGATTCTGCCGATCGCCCCTGCGACAAAGGCCAATGGGTTTCATCACATGGCGATTGATCTTTTGCCGTGTTTCCCTTTTTTTTATATCCTGCGGTTGGGAAATGTTTATGAACATGAGGTCTACAGTGGATTGGCCATTGTTGAGTCGGGAAGACGACATTGTAAAGGCAGACGCAAAGTCCAGCTAAAAACGAGAGAGGAGATGTATACCCAGACCTGTGCGCGTTGTTGCAGGAATAGCTACTTATTTATAACGCTTCTAGTGAGATGGTCTCTGGCGTGCGTGAGAATTATCAGCACTAGGAAGGATTCAGAATAGTCTGCTGAGAACATTGCCAGGGAACATATCGAGCCATGAGCGACGAATCTTGTATTGTACATTTCTGCGACAATGCATATATATCGCCGGAGCGCAAAGCCATTGGATGTTGCAGAAATGAAGATTCTTAGTTTGTGATTCCACCACTGACTGAAATGTATTGACCCGTAATCCAACGCGCTTTCTCTGATACCAGCAAGAGTACGGCGTCAGCAATGTCCTCCGGAGTTCCAACCCTGTCAGCAGCTCGAGTCATGTCGATGGATGGTTGCTGAATCGCCTTGACCATGTCCGTAGGGACAAATTTGACGATATCAGTCGTCACAGGACCGGGGGCAACTACATTGACCGTGATACCCTTGCTGCGCCCCCACTAGTCAAGTTATGCGTTAGTCGCCAATCGATGGAGTTGCATTATTCAATTTTCACAGGTGAGGTTCAACTTACCTCCTTGGCCCAAGACCAGGCCAGACTGTCCAAGGCAGCTTTGGAGGCACCGTAGGTCGGAATATTGGCATCCCCAAGTTTGGACGCAATTGAAGAAGTGTTGACAATTCGGCCGCCAGGTGGCATGTAGGGTACAACGGCCTGCGCAACCAAGATTGGACCTTTGATGTTGACGTCCAATGTTTTAGTCACTTGTTCGGGGCTGATAGCCAAGGTGTTGGCCGCAAAGCCCACTCCGGCATTGTTAACTAGATGGACACAGTCAGTTCCTGACTCGAATCGGGTCATGCTACAGCCATGTTACATACTTAGAATATCAATATGGTCCGTGTTGAACGCTTTGAGAGTCTCCTGGGCCAAATAGTGGGCACCCTCGGGAGTGTCAATCGTGGTCTGGACAACAACAGCATGACCTCCATCTGCCATGATTCTAGATGCAACGGCATGAGCTCGGTCGGTCACAGAGTCACTGACATAGTTGATCGTCACAGATGCTCCGTTCCGAGCTAATGCCACGGCGATAGCTGCTCCAATGCCGTTTTCTCTACCGGAGCCAGTAACAATGGCAACTTTACCAGCAAGCGAGAGCGTATCAACTGGCATGTTGAAAAATGAGAGGTTGGAGGTGAATGATGTGGCGGCTTACTTGGTTTCGGAGTCCATCACATTTTAAGTCTTTCAAATTCTTTATTATCTGATTTGGTACTTAACTTCCATTCTCTTAGTGAAGCTGTCACCTGTTTCCGCTCTGGGTAAGAGGTGTCTACCAGTAACATGTTAATTACGAAATGTTTCTAATCTACATCCAGTCAGTATACAAAAGCGGATACTCGCAGGCCTTAAAGCTATTTGCTAATTTTAGGATGCAGAATTATACCTAATTAGGAGTGAGGTATCCCTGCATTTGCAGATAAGCAATAACCCCCGATAATAATCATAGTTATTTTGCTTACGCAAGAAAGAACCACTTCTTAGACGATCACCTCAGCCTTAGGCTATCATGATACCTTTAGTCTAGGATCAAGCATGTAATTCAGTCTCCCGCATGCCAAGAGGGATATTCGTCCTTATCAAGACTAGCCTCCCTCAAGATTATCGCTATGCAAAATCCAGCTCACCGTATTCCCATAGATTACTGAATACAGACTGGTATATTTTGTATTATTACTATAACAATATATTGCTCTCGGTACTTTTGCTAATACTTTCCGTACCTAGAGACTGCCCTACCACAGTATGTAGCTTTTTGGGGAATAGAAACAACAAAGTTATACAGGCTCCACATACACACGCAAGGTCGAGCGCGCGCTTGCAAGGTAATGAATATTACAAGGTGTTTGTAATGCTGACAAATTGGAGTGGTTGATACTTACGGGCTTGTTTGCCTGAGCCGCTAAATCAGTAGAAGCTCAACAATAGTCTATCTATCCAACACAATAGCAGAAACATTTCAGCCTATTAATATCAAGGAACTCCTCTAGAAAGCTGCTCCCATCTCATTAAGCACACCATGCAATCTTTCCAGAGCATTCTTTGATAGAATGTCTACTTCAACTTCAAATTCCAAACCATGGGCGGACCAGCCACTTGCGCTGATCCCGACTCCGGCTTTCCTGACCAAACAGGTAAACTAGTCACTTCATCTTTTCCAAGAAACACAACCCTAACCGTAACAGCATAACATGTGGATCTCGGGAGCAAGCCACATGTGCAACGTCCACAATGTCATTTTCCGCGGGTATAACTCTATTTACCTCCAGGCCCCCCACGTCCAAGAAGCAGACATGGGCGCCTTCCTGGGCAGCTTCTCTGCTTCAGGAAAGTAATTGCGCTCTTCTTCTTCTGCATGCGTTGTGACTAGTTTGTACCACGCGCGGCAGTAGCTTGGTGACAGTGTTTTTGAACAGACACATGAAGAACATGGTGAGTTTTTTTCGAATGCTTGCTTCTCTCCTTTCTTGGCTGTTAACAAAGGGATGCCAAGACGCATTCATGCCCTTACTTCAGGCCTTCCAGAAATACTTGGATTCGTTGGAAAATGGTAGCCAGTTATCGTCGGACAAGATACTATCCCTCATGTCCGCATTTCAGCAGCCGTTTGAAATCCATTTCCGGAACGAGATTGAACTCATCGCGTCACTTGCAACCCACCCAAATGCTCCCAGAGAAGGTAGTACTGAGCAGATCGAAGCTCAAAAGAACTTCGACAAGTGGGGTTCGAGTTCAGTGACAAGAAGTGGCATCACGGACGTTCTGATGTTTTTCTTTCACAACTTGGACAATGACTACGAGGATGGGTTATGGAAAGATTGGCCAGATATTCCTGGTCCGGTCAGATGGCTTATGCCTAGAGTGATTGGAGGTTGGCACAGACAGTGGTGGAAGTTTGCCAGTTGTGATGTAGATGGAAAGCGTAAAGAGTTATGTTTGCCTTCAGAGGAACATACCGGTATAGATAAAAGTCTCTGTAACACGCGATAAGATATATTAGGAGAAAAGCATAGAGTTTGATACGAATAGTTAGAGAGCTAAAAGAAGCGATCGGGAACTACACAAGCCATTCAAGAACTCATGCTCCCTTTGAGTATGGGCGGCGGATAGGACCTCCAGCAGACTCTAACAAAGAATAATAGAACCTGGCAAAACTGAGATGTCAGCATCATCATTGTTGTACTCTTAGCGTCCTCTTTGAACGAGACATTCTTTCTTGATAGTCTCTAGCTTCATGACCAAGGCGCAACCTTCGGGTCATGCTGTTGCTTATATTACTAGATCCCATAGTTGGGGTCAATCCGAGCATATATACAGTTATTTTTCACTGTACCTCCCTGCTTATCACCCCGTTTAGAGCAGTTGCAGCTGTCCATGGGCACTTTAAAGTATCGCATACACTCGTCATGCGAGAATGTCCACTTGCAGCCTTCAAATACTTCAAACGCGACGATAAAGTGGTAGTTCCCGAGGACTGGCTTCTTCGCTTCCTTGTAAAAGTCAGAGAACACGGGACCCCTCTTGTCATCGCTAAGGTTTCGGCAGAATGACTCCGCGGCACCCTCAATCTTTTCATACTCGGACATTTGGCCCGAGTTGTAGCACATCTTCTCGTTCTTGGATGGGTCTGGTGTGTCGAGGTTGATGTCTGGATTGGCACAGCCGTTCAGCCACGCGGCAATGGAACCTTGCTCAGGGTTGATGGCCACATAGTCCGCCCGCCCGCTTGTCGTTAGCTTGGCGTACTTGATGTTGGCACCCGATGTGCCGACACCTTCTGCGATCCCGCCGCCTTCCCGCCAGGTAGGCTTCTTGGGGTAGTCGTTGAACCAGACGCGGACTCGGCCGTCCAACTTTCTGGTCCAGACATAGTCTACCAGCTGCACACCCAACCGCTTCAGGACCGGACGCCGTTGGCCTGCGCAGGCACGGTGCACAGGATCAAGAGTGAAGGAAACCAGCTTAAATTGATTGACCCGTGCGGAACCAAGGAAGAGGCAAGTATCCAGCTCGGCCCTCGCACAGATTATGAGGTAATTTCACTGTTGCTGACTGCTCCCACACAGGACCGTTGGGGGTGCAACCTTATGATGTTGAACCCAAATGGGCCCGGCAGAATTGTCAATTACCTTCCCGAAGGTCTTCAAGGTGAGGACTATGATTTGCAGAACTTGGCCGGCGGTATAAGGGAGATTGATCAGATACCAATGTGTTTCTTACCCGAGAATCGACCTATACGATCTGAGGCTTCTAGGGAGGCTGTTGGGCTTAGAGTATGAATTGAGGCCATTTGTTATATAGACTGTGAACTGTGAACTGTTCACCTAGAATGACATTACACGAGCTTGTGTATCAGGAATGCATGCTTGTATTGGATGAATAAATTCAGTTGAGCTAACGCTACTCATCTATCGACCCATCTTCACCAATGTTCTCCAACTCCAACTTGATTCCAGACTGGGCACTTAATTCATCAATCCTAGTCTGCAGCTCCGGTAAGAGAGTGCCAACGTATAGCGGCAAGGGCAAGATAATCCGCTTCAAGTTGGGTGGGAGCCGCAGCGACGCTTGTTCCTCAGCAAGCAGAAGATCCATAGCTCCAACAATAACACCATCGTGCCAGTCAAAATTCTCAACAGAGAGCAGTTCGCCCGTTAGTACGAGCACCTCGAGCCCGGAGGGGAGCGATGCTCCCAGGTGCGTTATCTTTCCCGGCGCTTCTTCCGGTGATAATCCAATCAGGAAAGCCCAAGGGATGCGCAGGAGTTTGAGTTGCGCAAGCTGCGCGAGGCCACGCAGTGATCCCCGAGTCTGCACGTCGGGATCCTCATACTCTCCGTAGAGCTCGTTAGCCTCTGTGTCAGCCTCAATGGTTAATTCCATCAATGTACCATGGACTTGGCACAGAGCATGGGCCATTACATCTAGCGCAACGATGTCCGTGCTGGCGTGGCTATCCAAGTGCTCCTGGTAGAACCAATGCCAGTGCAACTTCTTCAGCGACTTGAGTGGCGTAAGCAGGTGTTCTAGCCGAGTCTCACGCAATCTGAACAGCTCGAGGGATGTCAGAGAGGATGTTAAAAGAGGCATAGCGCTATCTGAATGCGGCCAGGTCCAAGTGACGGGATTGTCGATTGAAACGGACATGGTTTGGAGAGACGGCAGATAGAAGAACGGAAGAACGTCCGCGGCATTATTGAAATCGCAGTGACGGAACTCGTTGGTCCTACCGGCGAAAACAACGTGTTTCAGAGAGGGGAACTTGGGTAACCATCTGCTTCTGTTTCCGACGCAGGTAGTGGCATGACGAAGAAACTTGCCAAGACAGGCACTCTCAAGCGTGAAATTAGGTCCGAGTTCGAGAGAAATTAAATTCGGAAGCATGGAAATAAGCAGGGCCACCAATGCATCGACTGCGCCAGCTTGTAGCTCCTCCAACCAATTGTCAGCGCCGGGTGCTTCAATCACTCGTATATGCTCAGCCGCCGCGGGCAAGGGAAGTACAGAAACGGGCAGTGCTGGGGGCTCCTCATCGGTACCACGGGGGTGTGTCTTGAAGCCCATGCCAGTAAGCCGCAGTTTAAGGCAGTGCTGGCCGAGATAAGGCCTTTCGAGGAGGGTCCGGAGCAATGCAGCAACGGGCGGCAGTTTGTGATCTGGTTGTTTTTTCCATTCGAGATGGATGTCGGCGACGAGAAGCGGCTCAACGAAGCCGTGAAGGTTTTTGCTAACCAGGCTCAAAGAGAGGAGGTCACCCGAGGGCAACAAGGTAAAGATAGCTAACTGCAGCTCCCGTGGACAGTCCTGCATGGTTCTGGCCGGCATGCTGATGCTGTGTGTTGAGGCAAGATGGTGGTGAGTGAAGGTGAATGACGAGGTGATGTCTGTTGAAAGTCCTTACCCCAAACGCGGGAAACAAGGTTTGGGCGTACGTGTAGGATTCGGTCCTAATATGTAAGCATGATGTTGCCATGCAACGCAAATGCGGTATTGACTTGCGGACGGCTTGTGTCACATTAGTGTGATGAGAATAAAATCAGAAAGACACAACCCTACGCCCTGCCCAAAATAATGGCCCTTATGACTCAATTGGCTTACTGGCCGGTATGAAATAAACTCATCACGGGGCCTTTTGAATCGGCGCTGACTGTAAGGGACTTGAAAACTTGATCTTCATCCCCGTGCTGCGAACTTATGCAGAACATAGTAAGCATCTTCAACGGAAACCCCCGGCCTGTGAAACATCTTACGAGTACGCAGCAAATACGAAAACTATGCGCATAGAAACGTAGGTTGTGGACCCGTTGGCGGCCCTGTTGATTTGATTCCTACACCAGCGTGGAACACGGGCATCGTGCAACTATTGTAGAGTTTGCCTCACGCGAAAAAAACACTGCCTAGAACCATATACAGCGCGCTCGTTCATACATCATTCAATTCCACGGATAGACTGCATTACGCTCTCTGTGAAACTAAACGACGAAATGGTTGGACCTTCGTTAGCAGCATGCCTTGCTTTTGGGACTATGCTACTCAGGGGAATTGCTCTGGCTGACGAGTGCCAGCCCTCAACATGGTCGCCCAAGATGATGTCGCTGTCATCAGTTACTCGTGTGGGCGAGGTCAATTGCCGATATAATACCACGACAGGATCCAAGATCAACGGTGACGCCTGCTCCTCGTTGGCAAAGAAATACGAAACTACGGTAGACGCGATTATGAGCTTGAATCCCACGCTGGGTCAGGACTGCAACGCGTCCATTAAACCAAACACGACCTACTGTGTCAAAGGATGTATGCTCTCGCTAGCTATTGCCGTGGTCTGAACTGGGGAACGCACAAACTAACAATGATTTCTCGCCCAGTTGTTGAGCCGGACCGCGCATGGGATGGGCTCTGCGGTCCCACGCGCAAAAACACCTGCCTAGGTACTGAAAAGCAGTGTTGCAACTCGAAAACGTGGAAGTGCGGAAATGCAGACGAGGATTGCCGAACTGATAACTGCTATGAGGGTGCCTGCTTTAATAAATAGTTCTTTTTCCACATTTCTATCATTACGTTGCACTAAGAGCGAATGAGAAGGTCCATGCGATGGCAATGTTAATTATTCAAGTATTCATCTTGTAAAAGGATCATAGAGTCCAGGAATACCACTGTTTCCCGCTACCAATTCATAGCTTGAGGGGCCGACGGGAAGGGTCACCGCACACAAACCCCAAACGTGGCATCAGGGCAGCAAGTGCGTGCTGAATTCAATTACAGTGTAATGCGTAGGACCTGGCCGCCAGAACCATCTCCACCCGTTCCGACGTACACAGACTTGCCGTCTCTAGCCAGAGAGACCGATGTTGGGTCTTTGACTAGAGTGCCGTTGAACCCGCCAGCCAGAGTCGTCTGGACGCCTTTTGTCGTAACGCGGTTAACCGACGAACCATGGACCGAAAGGTACGCGTTCCCCTTGCAGTCGATGTCAAAGTCATCATACAAATTACCTGCCATGCTGACATTATCCAAGGATGCAATCTTTTCAATGCTGCCTATAGTATTGCCCAACGAGTCGATGGGAACCCGCGCGAATACGCCGGTCGCCGAGTTGGTGAAGTAAAGGTGGCTGCCCCTTATCTTCAGGCCGTTGGGTCCAAGTGGGACACCGTTGCCTGAAGGTCCGAGTGCGTCGCTAGTGAAGGCAACATCGACCTCTTTTGTGCTTGTGTTGATGCGAAACATGCGACCTTGGATTGAGTCAACGCTCAGGACAGTGGTTGGGTTGGCGGGTATCGAGTCCATGCCATTCAACATTTGCGTGTCGGGCACTGGGATAGTATCCAATAAAACTCCCGTCTCATTCTCCGCGTCCACCTTGACAACGTATACAGCCATGGTGCCATTCTCAAACATAAATGGCATGTGTATGCCGCCCGTGACCGCATAGACATCCCCGCCAAGATGAGCAATGCCAGTCAGCCCATTACTTCCTGGCAAAGGAATTAGGCTCTTGAATGAAGGAGTTGTCTCATTCGGGTCGAGAATCAAAAGATTCCCTGAGAAAGGTGCGTCCATGGTGGAAAGGAGGATCTTGCCAGAGGGAAGAACATGGAGGTTCTCGACAAATGTGGTCGCATCATTGAAATTGAAGATCTCGGTAATGGATTGTTCGGTCTGGGCCAGTTCAGCTCTTATTAATATCAAAATAAATAGAAGTTAGGAAAGCATGACTGCTGGTAGAAAGATAAGGTGGAAGGACAGGGTGGAAATGTGTTGAGACGAGGAAACAGGGCTGTAGAGGGATGATGTGTGGCGAAGGGAGAGTGGCAGCCTCATGAAGGAGGGTATATGAGCCAGTTTATCAAGTGACCAAGATGGCAGTTTAGCAAATAAACAAAGCGAGGAGACAACATCACGTACCATCTTATACTCTCTGGTGTGAAGAGCCGCTCCGTCAGAGTGTAGTGAAGTAAGATAGATTTGATCAAGGTCGATGGGATCAACTGATAGGTTCGTTTGCGTACTTCTGCCAGGGGCCACGCTTGCGCCGCTCCTCCAAATCTATAATGAGCTCGACTTGAGGAACAATGTTGTGTTCAGTGAATCAGGTGGTGAATTGCACAAGAGCAGAAGAGCGGGGGAAAGGGCGCGATAATCTGAGCGGTTTTCACCAGAGAGCTGAGCGCTACCCCGCTTGTGAAGGAAATCCAATATTGATGTAGGGATGGAGCCAACCAACGGCGTGAATGCAGCGTTAGATCAAATGGGTTGGTTAGATGCAGGGGCGAGAACTGTTGGTTACAGATATAAGCTCAGCACAGTAAAGTTGCAGCTAAATTGACACTGGCTAAATGATGGCAGATTGTCATTCATTTCATCATCTACCAGTCCATGTGCTCTGTGCCCTTATCGATCAACCAGCACAATGCCCTCCAAAGGCTCCAAGGCCGGCCCCTTTGGCTTCATGACCAAGCTCTCCCATGGGTAAGTGTCTACCGGCCGACTATCACGACACCTCCCAGGTCTACGACCCCGCCACTCATTGTCCTCTTTGCATGAATGGGCGCTGGGTCCCCGGCCGTTGCCAAGTATGCTCGTGCCTATCAGGTTGTATATCCCACCGCCCAGATCTTACTCTTGAGAAGCTCACTGATGCACTTCCTATCACCTCGACCACGTAAGAAGCCCCCTCTTGCTCTGTTACAACTAGCGAATCATGCTAGAAGCTCCTTGCTTATGACCACAGTCCAGTAGCTATATGACTAGAATGCAAACCACTGACACTTGTCCTCGCAGAATAACACCCAACATCCAACCCACCCTTCCACTCATCCGTGCCGTTGTCGCTAGCAATCCCCAACAATTACGCCCGGGAATCCTGTTTCATGTCTTTTTCAACGGCGGCTCTGCCATGCTAGGCAAGCTCCTAGACGCAAATGGTGCGAACCTTTCGGCCCATGTGACCATCTTTAATTCTTGTCCAAGCATCAAAAACTTCACCACCGATATGAATGCCGTCACATCTGGCATGAGTACTCCGGTCAAGTTTATCGCTTATCCTTTTTTCTTGCTCCTGATAGTACTCTGCTCTATCTGTTTCATTGGCCGTGAAGATAGTTTCGCGTATTGTCCCCGGGTTCATAATGAGGTTATAAGCGAGGCTAGACGGGCATACATATATAGCGATACTGGCCAGATTGTCGATTACCAAACCGTGGCGAAGCATGCTACAGCAGCAGAAGAAAGCGGATTCCATGTTAGACTCGAGAATTCCATGGTACAAAGCATATCATGGATGTGAGAGACGATGAAGAACGGTATGGGAAAATCATCAGGGAGACTTGGGAAGGTTGAAAGTTTCCGGTATATTCTGAACGTTTATATTTATTGGATGAAAGTTAACTGCCAAAGAGCTTTCCAGAATGGAGTTCACAGAGCTTTTTCTTTCAACTTCCCTTGTCTTTACTTGAGTTACATATAGCAAGGGATAAGAAACCAATAAATATCCCTATTGCAATAACTATACCAAATCACGATTATAATTGCCCGACGAATGTTACCTGCCCTCCAGACCGTGTCCACAGAGGCTGTTAATAGCACAATGTATCTCAGTGATCTGCTCTTCTAAGTTGTACAGGTTCTTCTCGTCGTATACAGCCTATGCTGACCCTAAGCCGGCAGCTTTCCTAGTCTCACGCGACTGAAAAAAATGACAAGGATTAATACTCACAGGTCCTTCCGTAGACTCGCGCCCTCCATCATCTTTAGCATCCTCTTCTGCTCCTCCGCATTTGGCTCATGCCACCAGGTCGTAGCATCTTGTTGTGGGAAACCTTTCTTTTCCCATGCCAAGATGTTCTTCTTGAGCTTGACTTGGTGCCATGGTATACCTAGGTCCTTGGACATGTGATCCATAATGTAATCTTTGACTTGCGTTCCACTGGCCCCATCCGGACCCTTGCCCTTGATGAAGAAGACACTATACAACAACTTCTCTAATTCCTCTGCCTCTTTCAGAGCCTTCATCATGCCACCTACGGCTCTGCTCTTACTATACCCTTGAGGCTTCATCCACTTGTTCACTTTTTGCCAGTCGAGCTGGTATCCCGCGTTATCATACGTAGGGCTTCCATTTGGTCCTTTCTTGTGGCAGACGTGTAGGTGATGAAACGGGTGAGTAACGTCTTCACGGACCTCCAGCTCGTACGCGTTGGGGCCCTTTTTCTTAGGCTTATCTAACCACGGCATGGAGAAGCGCGTCTTGAGCTCGTCGACATCTACTTTGGAGCTGTCGAGGCGTGGTCGAGACTCTCGTCCTGGCGTCAGCCTTTGATCCCGAAGCTGGGTGCGATCATAGTCGAATTCGAGATCCGAAGCCTTTAGGCGTGGCTTAGGTGCGGAGTCAGATTCAATGGGTGATTCCTCACTGGATGGTTCCACCTTGGCTCGTTTTACAGGCGCAAGCCCTGAAGGCGGCTCAGATTTCTCCAATGGCCGCTTGTGCTGTCGAGACGACGACCGGGTGGAGGTCGCACCTTTCCTATCGTTGTCGCTAGTCGGGTTTGAAGACGAAGTTCGCGGCATTTTGAGTATGTTCTTCTTGATAACTCAGTTTAGGCTGGATGAAGTTGGCTCAGTCTGAAGCTGTAAAGTACCTATAATGAATGATGACCATGTAACACGAATACTTACTCAAAGACTTGATTACGCGCTGATCGTGTTTGTCTCGCGTGTATATGACGTCATCAGGGGCTAAACGCTATTGCTATGCTTGTAAGCTACCCTAGAATTCAACTTCACTAATTCAACTTCACTTCCTAAATACCTCGATTAGAAATAGCTCCTGGCGGGCTTACTGGCATCTATCTGCCTCATAACGATTCAGACTTGCCTTGACAATAGTTTTACGGTTGCAAAGATACTTTGGGGCGTTTGAAAAATATCCATCCCCTCTGTGGTGGGTGCTCAATAGCACAAGCAACTCAGAAATAAAACATGAGAGGCTGCGCCCCGTTCATATCGTTGCTTCATCGATTTTAATCACTGCGGGGAGAGTATCCAGTGCAGACCTTTATTAACCCAAGATACTAAAGCATTGAATGGCCTCTCTGGAAGGGCCTGTACATTCCACGGCAGTATGCAACGCCAGGGACTATGAAGACTCGGCAAAAGTCATTAAAGTCGCTGCTGAACCACCCATCTTCGCTTTTACCCGTCGCCAATAATCCAAAGTCCGTTCTCGGAAGACAGAGGGTCCCTCAGGCCATGCTAGGTCATTACTTTTCCACCATAGTCTCGGAATTGGGGACATCAGTCCCGATGACTAATCCCCAGGACTTGATAAAGATGTCCTCAAGCAATGCATATGTGATTGTGATTGGTCCGGCTACTCGAGGACAGAATCCAAAGCCTATTTCTTAAGATATAGAGCGTCACGCGTTAGTTTGGTAAAGTCGGTTACAGGAACGCGAAGTTGGCTTTCGATTAGGGGCTTCCGATGCGCTCCGGCCCGTCGAGAGCTGATAAGCTCCCGTCAATTGAGGCTGCGTATCCACTAGCGACCGCAGTGCTAAGCATCATCTAGACGGCGTGGGTAATGATCCCAGCGGCTCCAGTCGCTTGTAACTGTCCGTCCAGTCATTGATGTCCAGCGGCAGCCAGACTTGAACGCGTAAATTGTCGCCAGCCGAAGTCATGGGAGACACCTTGAGATCGCAGAAACTAACAGCCGGCCCACTTGACCTTGTAGTATGCGACTTCGGCGGCTGAGAAAGAATAATACGACGGATGTCCACGGGATATCTATGCCCGGAGCCATGACGGAGGCGCACGGATGTTACGGTGAGAGTGATATAATGGTTCGTGCAGAAGTGGCTTCTAGCAAGAGTCGGTAAATGTCGCTGTTATAAGATTCGAGACCGCAGCGGAATTGCTTCCCAGTATGTTGAGGTCCTAAACGATGCGGGGACTCTAGCCTAGGAAGGGCTTGGTGTGTTGATTAAAGACAGCGCTTTAATGGACTCCTGCTATTACGCGATTTCCAACTCTGGCGTTATGGGTTGGTGGAGATGCTACATACGACATTTGGAGTATGGATATTCAGTGGAGAAGCATGGTAGTAGCGTCAATCTCGTCTTCCTCACAAAGTATTTCACCATCACCAATGCAAATAACGTGCTATTCTTCAGCGTTTTAGGCTTATATTTTCTCCACTAGTACTACAACCTTGCAAGGGGAGGGAGGAGCTTGTTGGAAAATGGCGCGAGCCAGTTATCCAAGGTGCGATATGGACCCAGCAAGACCAATTCGACTATAAAGCCGTTGCTCCCTAAAATCAAGAGCCATTTATGACAGTACTTCAAACCAATTCATTCTGTACCACTTCTGGAAACAGACTGGCCGTTGTTGGCTGCAATTAAGATGCTTGACTCCACAGTCCCTCGGAAGCGTTGGTGGAGGATCCAGTGGTATGCCGACGAAGATACGCCCGAAGAACGCAGGTTTCTTATTAAGCTTGACATAATCGTGGTACCATACGCTATTCTTGCTTATTGGGTCAAGTATATTGACCAGAGTAACCTGAGTACGTATTTGCTTCATCCGACTGTGTTATATGCACCGAGCGGGTAGTAATCTTTCCCTGACAGATAATGCCTATGTCGCCGGCATGAAGGAAGACCTTGGATTCTATGGGAACGAACTGGTACAGCTTCAGACAATGTACACGATTGGCGCAGTGGTTGGAATGCTGCCTTTTATGTTCCTGTTCACCTATATCCCAATGTATTGGACCATCCCTTTCATGGACGTCATGTGGGGAGTTTTCACACTTCTACAATACCGAACATCATCATTTGCAGAGGCTGCTACATACAGATTTTTGGTTGGCTTCTTTGAGGTATACTGAACCGACAATGCTCGCCGGATTCTATACTGACTGCGACTACTTCTTTTATAGGCCGCCTTTTTCCCGGCTATGCATTACGTATTCGGTATATATCTTCCCCTTTACCTGTATGCGTGTCTGCTCACTAAGTGCCCTTCGCAGGCTCATGGTATCGTGGTCATGAAATTGCCCGACGTGGTGGGCTCTTTTATGTCGGACTTAACCTAGGCACCTTGACTGCAGGACTCGTTGCAGCTGGCTCTTCTCAGAGACTCGAGGGCGTGAATGGCCTCGCTGGATGGCGTTGGATGTATATTATTTGTGCTCTGATCACCATTCCAGTCGGCATTCTGGGCTACTTCCTACTTCCCGGCAGTATTGATAAGCCCAATCGGTGGATATTAACTGATAAAGATATAGAGATCGCTAAGCGACGCCTCGAGAGCAGCGGGCATGTTACTCATGGCACTTTCAAGCTCGGGCATCTGAAGAAAATCTTCAGGAGCCCCCACTTCTGGACAGTTATCCTTGTCGATGTACTCTTCTGGAATGCTGGAATCCATAAGAGTACAGGAAGCTTCTTGTTATGGATCAAGAGTCTTAACCGATATAGTCCGGCTAAGATCAACGAACTGGGGACAATTACGCCAGCCTTAGGTATCCTCTACAACATACTCATTTGCTTCGCCTCCGACTTGATACTGGGACCAGCATGGGCAATTACATTAGCATCTACTTTGAACGCTATCGGCCTTGTAATTCTAGTGATCTGGAATGTGCCGGAGCCCGCCAAGTGGTTTGGATTCTCAACTATGTACTGGTCAAATGCGCTCTCCAGTGTCTTGCATGGTTGGGTGAATAACTTGCTTCGCGACTCACCGCAGGAACGATCTTTTACACTTGTTCTGATTACGATCATCGCGCAATCGTCGACAGCTTGGACCCCCCTTCTTACTTTTCCAACTGTCGAGTCCCCGAGCTATCCCAAAGGATTCGCGTTCTGCCTTGGATGTGCTATCGCACTCATTGCCGCAACCCACGTCCTCGACAGATATATCAAACGCAAGGAGTAAGTCATTATTGTATTGGCACGAGAGCACATGTTTGAGGATACTGACATTCCTTACTCCAGAGCAACTTCCAAGGCCACTCTTAGTGAAGGCGACACCCAAGGCGACAGTGCCCTAGTCGAAGGCGGGGGCTCAGAGAAAGGCTTGGGGCTTACGTCTTCTTCGAAGGAGGTTCGCTAAGGCTTGTTGAATAGGACAGAAAGCTGTAAAGAGAGTTCATGCCATTGAGTATATCGTGTGGGCGTTATTCGAGCTTCAAAGATAGTTGACATCGATGAAATGTATCAATTGAAAAGAGATCATTTGCTTTTGGAAGTAAAGTTCCTATCTTCCTTAAGCCACTTCACCTTACATTCACCTTACCTTCAAGGTGGACTCGGTAAAATATAGCAAAGTACGCGCAGTTGTTTAAATTTTGCGCTGCTGAAAAACCTTAAAGCAATCTAAGGCAGCTGCCCTCGTTTCGCACCCACCTTGACAGGCAAAAGCAATCGCCTCTGAGAGTGCTAACCTGGGCTTGGATGGCTAATGATGGTATAACAGCGCTCTGGTCCCCATAGTCTGGCATCTTACTATGTTTCGGAGGAGTACACACCTGTTATGGACGCAGAGACGAGATCCGTAAGGTTGGAATCGTTTGGCGCGGTCACGGCGGGATATATCTCGGCAGCATGATCTTTCATTCTTCAAGGGCTCGGCCGCTTTCACGGTACGAACAGTCTATTATACTAGAAACGCCCGATGCAGAGTTGGCGAGCATTCTTCAACAAGGCGAATTATAGCGTTTCTTCATTGGGTAGGATTGCTGCAATGATAAGGTTATTAGAAATGGCAAGATTATCTACATGCTCTCTCTCTTCAGAGCACGAATTGGTCTTAATTCGAAGAGGACAACTGCAGATGGTAATTGCGATGAGTATATATGACCCAGCAGAGCAAAACAATAACGGGTCTTGTATCCTGCACTCGCCGGTGCATTCCACGTTGTGCCACAGTCGCTTTTCTCTCTAGCGAGTCTATATTAGAAGCTTTCGTTGACCTTTTGCATGCTTTCCAAGTACTTCTAACGACCTACCTCAAGAAACTGACATGTAGCCCAGATATCAAAGCTGAGTTTTCCCTGGACCAAACACTTGGGTTCCGCCCTTGCGGATCGTCTGGTAATCAGAAATTCAGGCTCTCACCTAAGGTTACTTCGCCAGCATCTCAAGAATAGAGTCTTTTGTCCGTATCACGTCCGAGCTTGTCGCGGGAAATACAGCGATACAGAGCGTATAGTGCGTGTCGCCTGCAAATACCACTGCGAATACCCTCTCAGCGCGAAAGATACTATGGATACAACCGCGGGATTCTTTTCGTCGCCTGCGTAAGAAGCACAATTACTGATGTCGCATAATGTTTTCTATCAATAGGTATGCCTCGAGTATAGCTTGCAGCGCTTCGTATTTTTAGGCCGCAGAAATCATTACGCGCTTTGGCTCAATAGGCCGGTGACCCTCATATGCATTGTTTACGCCAGGAGAGATGGTCAATTCAAGCCTCTGGACTTGTTTGGCGATTGGTAGATCCCCCAAGCAAGGTAGGCCAAAGAGTTCCGGATCTTACCTCCTCGCGTGCTAGGCGTCGTCAGCTTCGCAAGGGATAAGAGGTATTATACAGTAAACCCCAGGACAAATTAGACTTCAAGTATCTCCTTACAATAGAGGTATTGCTATTAACGTTAGCATAACACTAGCCGACGAGTATAAAGTATTAAAACCCTGCTGTTCAATCAGTAATCATGTCGTGGCTAGTGTACGGGGAAACAGGCCGACATAAGGCTCCTATCTACAATAGACACTCAATATTACTTTTACTTCGACCAAGAAAACCGACTTGGCCTAACTCTAAATCTAACGTACAAGCTGGCATGGAATTAAAAACCACAAAGGGCCACACAAGACGCGGTTTTAACAAACCGGCAAAATGACAAAAAGACCTCGCTTTATTTGGACCACCTGTTTGCGCCCGTGACGGTGGTGGTCAGGTTCCTCTCGGACCCGGATTCGTCAAAGTGCAGACCGGTTTGGTCGCCATGCTCCGTTTCCTTGGACCTATAGTTGATGCTCGTGTCCTTGGTGACGCGGATGCCCTTGGACCTGTGCATCCCCCGACTTGAGCTGTGGTGGCTGTATTCCGAGAGTTCCATGGTTCCGGCGCCGCTGGAGGGATCACCTCGATAGCGTCGCCACAGAGGTCGGAGAGGCGGCAAGCTGATGCAGATGATGGACAATATGGGCTCGAGGGTGGAGAGGAAGACGCTGACGGGCATGGTTCCGGTGATGTTGGTGAAGTCGACGGATGCAGTGTAGGCGCCTCGGGCAACAGCGGCAATCACGGCACTACGCGTTTGGTCAGAAACACTTTGCCATGTCAAAATCAGCTTCAGATTACTCACATAAGTCCGAGAAGAATACAGGTCAGTACACCGATCTTGTCGGTGAGTCTCATCTGGAGCTGGAGAATGCTTCGGATCGGGATGGCCATAATGAGAAGGTCGAGAGCTGCATTTGAGATGATTAGGCCCAAGAACATGCGAACCTGGTTGATGCAGGTTGCAGTCGCCTGCGCAACCATGTCCCACTGGGCATAGACAGGAGTGCAGCTGAAGACAATGGCCATTGTAAAGGCCAGAGTCCAGGAACCGATTAGCGCCTGCGTCAAGTGGGAAGCCATCATCAAACCCTTCACCTGGAATACGCGAGTGTAAAAGAAGAGGACGCTTAATTTGGAGAAGCAAGCAGCGTAGAGGACGATGAGCTGGAAGGCGAACGAGAGACGGAGGATGAGGGGAACGTTTACCATGGCGTCTATTATCTGGTATCCCGAGCCACAATTCGAAACTTCATCGTCGGTTAGTGCAAGGACGGTGACGGTGTTGTTGGTATCGACTGGAGTGTTGTAGACCTACAGATGCCTTGAAACACTATCAACGGTAGTGTGAGAAGCTGCAGCGAAGTGTTAGTCTCCAAAAGCAACAATTAAAGGTTCTGTTATTGCGTACCCAGGACAACGTCGCAAGCCAGTCGTCGATACCGAGGCCAGCCCCTGTAACTCGAGCATAGATTCGTCCACATACGACGAGAGTCATGAGGAGGGCCATGATGCCATTGACAATCATGTACGCGAGCACCGCCGACTTCCACGGCATCGGCGTACAAGTAACCGGCATCACAGCCGTTGGAGCGGACATGATGGCTGAGGTCTGCCTAAGGTCGTTGAAGTGCGTTCGGCCGATGAAGTTGCCCGGTAGCCACGTTGTAGGCAAGATGCTGGAATAACAACTGTTGCGTCCAAACCAGAGGAGTTAATCATTTTGAATTCTAGCAGAATGGCTAGGGGTAGGGTTGTGTTTCCCTCAGTTTTGCTTCTGAGACGAACCAAACAACAAATGGCCTGTAATGATGACCTAGATGGGCGGGCGGATACAACTTTACATGCACAAGGTTAGATCCCTACTGTAGGATTTCCCGCTCCGCCAAGGGTGTACTAATACTATGTATATACAGCATGCTCTCGAGGGGAGATCGTTCCTAGTTGAGAATAGTTCAATTTTCAGGACTCATGCCTTTATATGACGGAAGCATCTGCCCCTTTCCACGCTGTCGAAAAGGTTCTAGGGCTCTAGTCACACCGATTCGCGTCGTTTACTCGTTCGTGCCCGCTCATTTTTTTTTCAGAGCGCTGAGCAGCAATTCGGCCGCTTAACCATGTATTAAAGTATAATGGATCTATGTATAAAGACACTGTGCGTAATCAATCACACATGTGGCCTGATCTTGGGATATCGCTTTTGCTTACGAAAAAACAACAACAACGATAATGGGACTATGGAGGTTATCTCACACAGTACCTACTAACTGGCTCCCATCTTCAACTGATCGCTGTGTGGCTGAGTTCGCTGTTCAGCACCACCTAAGTACCTCGAGAGTAGTCCCTCAACCGTGCCCTCGTGAGGGCCGACCTGGTTATAACACAAAGGTAAGCAAGGAGTCAACGGGGAGTTCCGTATTGAAACATCAAAATCAGGTGGCCAGCAGCAAATGTGGAGTACAACAACGGTCTCACTTATTACCCCTAGGTAGCGGGGCGAAGCTGACTGACTCTGATTACAGTAGGTTGAGGGAAATTTAGGAATTCTGAATACTTACTGCATGGGGCCTCCCTGATCATAATTAGCCGAAGTCCTATCGAGTATCCTCATCTTATTTGTAGAGTGTTCCCTGTAAATACCATCTCGGTGGATCTATTTCTACGCGTCTGGGCACCAACCTGTCCCAGAAGAGGAGAGAGAAGGGGGCGCGAAGACGAAGCAGCCATGCTATTTTAGCCACTCCTCTGCTTAAACTGCAGCTAGGATGTAGTTAGCACAAAGGGGTTTGCTAGCAGCTACTTTGTCGCTCACCAAATAGAAGTACCGATAATCTGTACGCTACGCTGTACCTAGATCAACATGGCCACCATTCATCTTCCTTTCTGGAAACCTATCAGAAACCTTTAATAGGGTTTCGAATATACTAACCCTAATTCTCAAGGCAAGAACGGAGAAGACACTCAATCGTAGCCTACGCCATGTCAAACGCATACAAGTAGTCTTAACTCGAAGGAATGCTCAAGTTTCAAGTACGCCATGTAAGGCTAGTAGGATGATTTGTGTGGGGAGTGGGTTCACCTTGGTATAAGCGCGGTCCTGTATATCCAACTAACATACCTAATATATATACACGTGCTGTTCCCTCTCTTCTTTGTTTGTTAGTCCTGTAGCTCTGGTGCTTCCAAGCCTACTGAAGGAAAGGAACGGTATTTCCATACAATAACATACTGTCTGTGTCTTCGCTGCCTTGTTGATCCGAATGTTCGGATCGAGGGAGCATTTGGTGATAATGCCTGGTGGCGGGTATAACATGGGAATGACCACCCGTTATTCCAACCTCCAGGCCATGTCCAATGTTGGCCCCTCGCGGCATTTGATAACCCTGGCCTCCCAGGGTCTACGTAAGAGAAGGGCATAAAGATCACCGTGACGATGCGGTGAAAGTTCACTCCCAGGGTCCACCTCTCCCAATATTGGGACAGCCATAAACGCTTTGCCTCCATCGGCAGCGGTGTCAAGGCAACCCGGCACTCAAGTCTCTTGCTGACCACGTGCAGGGTTGATAGCTCCTTTTTGCCTACCTCGGCCAACACGGCTCGCAATGTTTGAAAAAGAAAGGGGGATTTAATGGTAGGCCTCCCCCGTACTCGCTTGTGTATGTGTGCAACTTATGATCTGTACGAGGTCCCCGAGTAAACCTCCTATTGTTAGCATCAGCTTGATCAGGCAATCCAACCACAATGACTACCATAACGACGTCTGCCGACGCACCTGTCGCCAAGGCCCTCCCCATCGTACCCGAAGAAGTTACTAAGGAGTGGCTGGCCGAAGTCCTCGGTCTTAAGATTAAGTCTGTGGAGCTGACCGACGCCATCCACGGCACGGCTAGCAAGGTCTTCTTCACCATCACTTATGACGAGTCTGAAACTGCCGTCGAGAAGCCTGAGAAAATATGCATCAAGGGTGGCTTCAACCCGTCCCTCACCGCGGCAATCCCCCTCCTCATCGATATCTACCGTCGTGAGGCTCTCTTCTTCGCCAATATTGCTCCCAAGCTCACCTCTATGCACCTGGTTAAGTCTTGGTGGGCTGGTGAGGATGAGAGGCAGGGGCTTGTCATCATGGAGGACCTTAGTAAGAAGAACTACACTTTTGGCAAGGTGAAAGAGCCCTGGACCCCTGATATGGTGAAGAAGGCCCTCGAGGAGCTCGCAGTTCTACATGGCACAACCTGGAATCAGGGACCCAAAGACTACCCGTGGCTCAAGTCTCATTATGACGAAGCCGTTCTGGGCATGCTCCCAGCCATCAATTACGGCCAATTCGTCATTGACCCAGAGCGCCCACCGCTGCCTGAGCCCATGAGAGACCAGGCACGTGTTGAAGCCATGTTGAAGAAGCACTTTGCAAACCGCAACCCAAAGTTCATGTGTGTCATCCACGGTGACTGCCACATCATGAATGCTAGTGTCTCACCACAGGGGCAAATCGGTCTGGTTGACTGGCAGATGCTTGATAGCGGCGGCTGCTTCCACGATGTTGCGTACTTTATTACAGGCTCCCTCACAGTCGAGGACCGTCGCGCGCACGAGATGGACCTCCTGCAGCACTACCTCGACATGCTTTACAAATACGGTGGCCCCAAACTCTCCGCCAAGGATGAAGATGTTATTCACGAGTACACAAAGAGTGTCTTTTCCGGAATTGGATGGATAGTGGCCACTACCCAGATGCAGCCCATCGAGATCCTCTACCCCATGATTGAGCGTTATGTTGTTGGAATTGAAGACCATAAAGTCGTTGACCTGCTGGAAAGCCTACCATAGCATTGCTGAGGATGTTAAGCTGTAATTACAGTATCACAAAAGATGTCGTGTAATGCTGCGTCGACAGTGATAATGATACTAGACGAACTAATAATACGTATCTAATTATAGATAATATATATTAATTTATAAGGTTAATATAAGAAAGGTAATTCTAGCTGTAGATAATTAGTAAACCCTCGGGGGAGTTTTACCTTTAATATAATTATCTTATAGAGAACTTTACTACTATATATCTTATAATCCTAGAAGCTTATAATATAATATTACTTAGTAATAATAACAGATAAGCTTATTCCTATACTTACAGTAAGTAGAACTATACCAGATTAATATATAGTAGTAATAGGCTATATAGTACTGATTAAAGATATAGAAGGAATAGCAGGTATAATAGGGTTAATACTTTAAAAGATAGATAAATAATATATAAATAGTCTGGATTAATATATAAGCTATTATAGAGTACTTTATACCTCTATATATATCTTTTATTACTTATAGTTACTATTAATAATCAGAGAAGTATTTACAATAGGACCGAGCTTATTAATTCCCTTCTATATACGAATTAATAATTAACTTTAATAGATCTATCCCGGCCTGGCAGCAAGCTTTAAGGTAGTACTCTTTACAGCAGGCTGATTTTATCTTATACTTCCAGCTCTAATAATAACTAAACCCGCTATATATTAATATTGCTCAGCGGCTACTACTATACTTACTATACTAACTACGTTGTGCTAAGTAAGAACTCTATTAGGGTTCCTGATAAGTATAAGAGGGTAGAGGTATTATTATTTATTGCAGTTTATCAGTAGCCGGGGCATTGGCTCAGTGAGAAATATATAAGCGGGCAGGATTATTATAAAAGGATAAAAGAGCCTATCCTTATACTATTCTAATAATTTTATTAAAACTTAGAGTAAGTCAGGTAAGAACTAAAAACAGACTAGGTAGTGATAGATCTACTCGTTCTCAGTGACCTCTCTGATCTCATCCTATTAATTATTTATATTAGTATACTAAGTAATAGATATACCTCTTTTAGATTTTTCAGTTCATACCTCGGTTAAAGCTCGAGGTGCTGTGACTTGAATACGGTCATTTTCGGTCTATATATTATACTCAGCTCTCAGAATAAAACAAAATAGATAGAATTAAAGCTTACTATTATATCAAAATTAGATATATCTTGGAACAATCTCTTAAGAAGAGTAGTTAATTTGAATCGAGATATATATTTCTCTTGTAGAATAGTTACTTCTGACATTATAGTCGTGCTCCAGTAAAGGTACTTAATAAGAAAAAAAAACATTACTTGATGAACAGAATCAAGTGGAAGATAGGAAGGAGTAGTAAGCGGCTTGCTTTTAAATTTCACCTATCTTATCGAGGACACGTGTTCATTATATTACATGACGTGAGTTTTACCAATTCGATGCTATAAGGCCATGAACTAGCTTGCGATTGGATAGTAATACCCCTCCCTCAGGCCGCCTTGCATACAGCATATAGTAGCTAACTAGCACCGCCTCATTAGGCAGAATGAACTAGCCAAGGCATTTTGGTGGTCTCACCTAAGCTTAAATAGTGAGTAACTTTAGGCTTCTTTGAGCTTCCTCATATTGCTCCTATATCACCTCTTATTCGATTAGCTATGGAAAATTTGAGAGTATTTACGCACAGTTCGATAACTCAGTATAACTGCTCAAATGGCCTCACGACCCAAACAATACCCCGAGCATTATTTATTGCCCGAATTCGAGGAAAAAACGCATGATATTTTCGTCGACGACATTTGTAGCTGTAAAATTGGGGTGATGTCATTTATTTCCCTTTCGACTGCATCGTCTAGTAGAGAAGGGCAGGCTATCAGGTGGATTACAACGGGCGGTGAGCTCCAGCATGCGCTGAAGGTATGTCTTGCTTGGATGAATTTCCGCAATTGCCACAACTGGATAGTTGAATTATTGATCTTGTAATCTTTTATTAGAGTCTTTCGGGATCAAAGAGCTATAGAATAATGTAAGCAGCAGAAGAACCGCCAGATATACCACCGAATCTATCATCATGCGCTAAAATAATTCTATACAGACTCATTTGCCGCCGCAACTCGTGGAGTCGCTTGAGTATTACCTCCGATATGTTCCGGGGTTTATATCATCTTGACCAAATAACGCCTCACTTCTTGAAACTAATCCAAGGATTTCGGAAGAAGCTAACGCCTGAGGACGAAGAGTTCATGAGCTCTTACAGATGTATTTCTACATCTGTTACGGATGATGATAAGAAGAGCATCAATGGCACTTCGAGGAAGGCTTTATCCTTCGGTACGAGCAATGACAACTTCCTTTCTTATCACATGTCCATACGGAAGACTGATATATCACTTGTTAAGAACTGTGCTATAACATTCGCTATTATGAGAAGCATGGGCAAAATAGGGAAGACCCTTGGACATATCGACACTCGGCGATACACCATAAGTATTTCTGCGAGGACGAACGCTCGGCCTGCATGGTTATACACCCCCCGACGAAATATACGGAAATGTTAACGGAACGTCGTGTCGTCTGTGTTGATCATCCCTTACACCCCCACTTGCAATATCTTTCTGCCAGTGTAGCAGGTTGGCGAGGCTATCTGAATTACGTCTCCTGGCAAATAAATACCATGGTCAGTTTTAGATATAACTTCTCTATTTGTGTCAAGGGTTATTAAAGCTGATATAATTTCGCCGTTTTACTAATTTGCTAGAACGATGCTATTGCCTTCTCCAAGCCGCTCCGCGACTTTAAGCTCCGGTTTTCATCAATACAAAGAATCCACAACATCCGTCAAAAGATAGAACATGCGTCTTTGATCCTCACTAACACTCTTCAGACAGTAACAACCATTCAAGCTCACGAAGAGCTGATGGGCGCTGACCTTCAAATTGCAAAATATGCCCGGAATGAATTTATCACCGAACTTAGTAATATAGAAAATGACCTACGGAATTTCCAGACCACCGTACAAAAGCTTCTCGCTCTCTCTATGGATGTTCGACTAATTGTAAGTAGAGAGCTTGGAACTCTTGCATTCCTAACTAACACTGAGTAGTATGACAACATTCTCAAATTTAACCAGCAAGAGCAAGCACAAGAAACGAGTGTGAAGCTTGCTCAACTAGCTGAGGTGACTGTGATCGAGGCCAGAAACAATTCATATCTTGCAGACAGGGTGTACCAGGATTCTCGAACCATGCGAATAGGGACCGTGATCGCGATTTTCTATCTGCCCATGAGTGTGGTTTTGGTAAGTTAATGAATGAGAAATCGAGAAATCGAGAAATGGCACAAGAATCAGTTGAAATAACGAGTATACCAGTCATTTTTCAGCACTACATTGGTCCAGTTCAGTTCCGAGGATAGCACTGAACAGAAGACCGGCAATCAATTCGCAATGAGAATCCGTTCAGAGATCTGGATAGCGGTGTTAGTGGCCTTGATTCTCACGGTTGCTACATTATCTACCGCTTATCTTTGGGGGAAAAGGGAGTCGATGCGAGGTATTACGTTCCACCGCAAGGTAATCTAATATATGTTTCCATAGCTCTATCGGTTTCCGACCAGATTATTTCATTTATGCTTAATCAGCTTATGTGTCCTCTGGGCTTTTATCTTTTTTTCGGGTATTTGCCTTGTATTTCCAACAGCAACGCTCTGCAATCGCCCTTGATGTCTTTACTATCCACGTCGATTGTGGCAATAGTATGTGCGATGCTAATATGGCTCCTATGGTTCTCTATGAGGATGTTTATCACATCTTCGCCGCTAGTTTCATTTGTAGCCGCTGCAATGACAACATCTTCTGGAATGTCAACCTGATGATCTCCGGGCGCTTCTAGGAGCTGTTTCATGAGCTCAGCTCCACAAAGTTGATTGCTCGCTGCAGCGACGAGAATATCCGATGTTACCTCCAGTCTGTGGCTTCGGGCTTCCAATAGGACTTCCAATACTTCTGATGCAAAGTATTTATTCATCGCAGCGCTCTGAAAAACGCGTGACCAATCAACCTCTTCTCGGCCCTTTCCATGTAAGAGTAGCCTCAATATCGTCTCGCCGTGCTCCTCGTTCATGGCAGCTTTGGCTAGCAATTCTGTGCTGATAACGATCGCGTTATGAGATGCTTCCAGTAGCGTAGAGAGGACCTCACCATTCCTTTCTTCATTACCAGCAGCATTAATCCAGGTTTTTGATGTTATTGAGACTCTTGGATCTCGATTCTGGAGAAGAAATCTCAGCATGGTAGTATCCGAATCTCGTGCAGCTTTTTCTATTAGATCGGAGGTAATAACCACCATATGGGGGCGAGTCCTGTGTAACATCTCTATGATTGCCGATCCCGCGTCATTATTCTGTACCAATGCTTCTAATACGCTTGGCGTGATATCAAACTCGTCCAGGTGGTCGTCAAGGAGCTCCATCATGATACTGTCCCCAAACTGATTTCTAGCAACCGCTTCAATTACCTCTGGGGCTATTAAGGGTTCGCCGCGGTTAGACCGACGCATTTCAGACACTCGCTTTTGTAATGCCCAAGCTAGCACTCCCGTAGAGATACTTTCAGCTGCAGCTATCAACACGGCTGTTGTAACCTCCATGTTACTTCCATGGGTTGTCAGGAGTTCAATTACTTCGTACTCAGTCTCACACATTATAGACTGATATTCTTGAGTTAATATTGTATCGGGATGATCAGGACCAAGAGTTTCAGAGCACAGTCTCGTGCACGAAAACATCAGCTCGGTAGCGTCGGAGAGGCGGCCGCGGTAATTGTGTGTTATTGCCAGATTATACATTGCTGCAAGAGTCGCTCGATGGCATTCGCCCATGGTAGATTTCATAGCAGTAAGAGTCTTCTCATTCAGAGATTCCGAATCTCTCAACCGTCCAAGTAAACGGAGAGTGACGACCTCGGCCATTGTACTTGCCAAGGTGTTAGGATGCTGGGGACCAAAAATCTCACTGTTTCTTTTGACGGCTTCTGACTGTTTAGACAGTGCTTCTGTGAACCGGCTCTGGATCAGATAGGCCAATGCGAGCAAGTGCATCAACGAAATGGTCGAGTGATGTTGATTGCCGAGAAGACTTCTTCTCTTTTCCAATAATTCCTCTATCATCGTCGCAGTGCTGTCGATTTCAATTTCTTCCATTCCCAAGCGTGTCCTGATCCAGGCTTCCATTACGTCTAAAGTAATGGGATCCTCTTCACCGAGAGTAAGCCGGGCCGTCTCAATGGCTTCAAGATGAAACTGCCTTGCTTCGTCATATCGGCCCAGCCTCCTATAGATTGTGGCGAGTTTCGATACTTGAGTCAGAGTAGCCAGGTGTTTGTTGCCCAGGCCTCTCTTGTAGGCAGCTACTACTGGAGACAATATTTCTTCAGCCATCATTAGGTCGCCACGCCGAGCATAGATAGTCGCGATTTCAGATTTAGCATACAGAGTGGATGAATGCTCAGGTCCAAACACCTCGGCGCTCAGCTCTGTGACTTTGGACTGTATCGATAATGCTCGATCCCACTGGTTTTGCTCTATGTGTATCCCCACAAGGACTTCCATTGCGTTCAACGTGTTTCCGTGAGCTCTTCCAAGCTTTGTCTTATACGCCTCTACAACAATCTCTTGCCGTGCTTCTGCCTTATCCCAGAGTCCCAGGCGCAATTCAATCAAAGCAAGTCTCTGCAAGCTGGACAAAGTATCGATATGCTCAGAACCGAATGTGTCCGTGAGATATTCAACAAGATGTAGCTGCAATGTTTCCGCATCTCTCCATCGGCCCAAATTCCGGTAACTTGAGCACACATCTGACCTGACCATCAATGTCGCCGCGTGCTCCGGTCCATATTTTTTCGAGAGAGCTTCTACAGCTTGTAATTTCAGCTCTAGAGCTTCTTTCCATCGTCTTTGTGAATCAAGAACCGTATAAAGCTGACACAGAACAGTTAAGTAGGGGCGGTTATCAACACCAAGAATCTTTTTGATGCTTGTGAGCTCACGCCTCAGGACGCACTCTGCAGTCGATAAAACACCATGCAGCCTGTATCTTTGGACCGGACCGGTGTATTCCTGCAGACCTTGATCCGCGGCTTGTCTGTAGGCGTGGCCACGGTTTCCATTGCCGAAATTAAGCGGATCTCGAACGAAACAATCAAGTTGGGTTTCTACCTCAGAGTCTAGTTCAGCCTCAGGTGAAGTGTCTGCTGCCTGGCGATCACAGATAGCGGTAACTTGTTCACAACCGAAGCCGAGTTTTTGGCAGAGATAAAGGTGAGACCTGGTTATGGGGTTTGGATACTTTGTATAGAGCTTTTCTAACTCTGCGAAGATGTGCTCCCGTACGCGGTAATCTTCGCCGTACAATATGTGCAGCCTCTCAGCGAGCTATCGTCCACCAATTAGTAAAGGCTTTTGGCTTGCTCAGTGAAGAGTCAGTTGGTAAGGGCAAGAAAGCGTAAATCACGAACCCCAATATAGAAATCAATAGGCGTATTCATGTTCTTGATTGGCAAGTTGGGCTGTCTTTCTGGCCTACGACATTAACATCAGCTAAGGAAATATTACTCTGAAGCCGAGAGATCAAAAACACCCACTGTTTTCCAGGCAAATGTTGCAATGCATGATAAACGTCTGTTGCCCTCAGCTGAGGATTCTGCTCCAAAGAGCACATGAAAAATTCTGCTAGCATGTCCCTGTGCTCAGTGCCAAGCATTTGCTCGATGGATAGCAAAGCCTTCGAGAACCCGCTTAGCTCGCATCTGGTCTTGACCTCCGAGAGCGCGCCAATGGATTGATATTCACTGTAATTCAGCACTGTGGTTTCCAGGTAGGCTAGCGAAGGGGGGTAAGAGACGACACCAGAGAGCTGCGGTTCAAAAAGAAGCCATAAACAGAGCATCCCGTAGGAGAATAAGTCTACTTTCAGGGCCTCCGCCAACGTAAAATCCGGGTGACTTGATATTTCTGGTGCATCCCAGGGCCTCGATTTGGGCAGACGGAGGCCAGATCTGGCGGAGTCGAGATGGGGCACTGAGTAGCCAAAGTCGGCTACCTTAGGTCGGAAACCAGTATCTGATTTGAAGACGAGTACATTGTGGGGTTTAATGTCGCCGTGGATAATGCCTAATTGATTTCGAAATACAATTAGAAACACCTAACACCTTCTTCAGCACGGACAAGATCCGATCTACACACCATAAGAGTGCATGTCAGCAATTGCACAGCCGATTTCAATGCAGATCTCCAGCCGCTTATAAATGTTAAGCTCCCGACCGGCAGGTGATATGGCAAAATCGAGTAAATTCCCAAGTTCTGACATTTCAAGGACCAGAGCAGGCCATACTCTATAATCAACGGCTTGAGATTGCCCGTCCACATGGACATGGTCCCCTTCACGGTGACAGAGTTCAATATCCCAGCATACTCCTTGCAGCTCCACTATATTTGGGTGTATTCTGACAGAAGGGTGGCGTAAAATGGAAATCTCATTGATGAGCTGTCGATAAATGAATTCTTCTGGCTTCTCCTGCTTGTCGCTATCTAGGACGCGTTTGAAAGCGAACCCCGTTTGAACACCGGTTTGGGCCTGATGGATCTGACTCGTTGCTCCCCGGCCAAGTTTGGCCAGGTGGCCATCCCAGGTCATGAACAAGAATGGCACGTGAAATTTGTAAACAGTAGCAAGAAATGTGATGAAGCTGGGTGGGACGCGACCGAGTGTATCCAATATGGTCTCTCGCGGAGTAGCATCACTCGAGGAGAAACTAGGACTCTGAAATTCTGAGCCTTCCTCCTCATTAGATACACCTTCACCGGTCCCTCCGATAGTAAGTACCCTGAAATAGGATATACTTGTAGTGGCTAAGAGACCTGGGATAAAGGATCTATCCGGCTCAGTATCTTCTGTGGGGGGTATTCTTGACGCAACAAAGACATCTTGATCTAGTGACTGCGCCAAGGAGTGTTCAAAGTTATGCTAAGAACTGTTTAGTAAGAACAATGTTTCGGTTTACACCCACTAGCTCAGATACGAGATAGATATAGAAATATTATCACTCGTGTACTAAATCACTCACAATAGATGGCATTTCGCTATACGTCCTAAAGCAGAAGATGCCCTAAAACTGGTCGATCCTGTGTTATAGACTGTAGTTGTTGTTCGAGCTTCTCAGTATATATAATAAAAAGATATATATAAAAAGGAATTAGCCTAGTCCTGCGCACCTTATAATAATTAGGTATGGAAAATAAAAATTTAGACATGGTCACGGGATGGCCATAGCTTACATCAGCCTACATAATGCCTGATGAATGCCTAACAGAAAGCCTTACCAGTGCAAGTCGGGCGTAGGTATTCGCTATTGGCCAGACATATACACTTACCTATATAATGTCATGCTATTACACATCCTGCCGGCCTTAAAATAGGCCACGATCAAGGAGCAGCGAGTAATCTAGCTTTCAATTATTTCAATCATTCTGCCCTTGAATCAACATTCGAGCGTGCCTGTAGCCAGAGACAATGGAGACTTTAAAGGAAAAGGTTAAGGGACTGCGACAAGAAAATCCATCGGATAGAAGCTTTATCCCTGAGGCCGCATTTTTCAAACTTATGACGCGCCAGGAAGTGGAGGGAGCTATCAACGCGTCAGAGATCAAGTCATACCATCGGCAAGAGCTTATCGAACTCGTTTTCGCCCGAGGCAGAAAAGTTTTTGCTATTCTCCTTCTCAATGACAGCCTGGGGCTTCTCCCGAAATTCAGAGAAGCAGGGATTCTCGAAGACGCCAGGCTTCCCTTTGACAGGGACACCCTGAAGCAGAAGTTACTCCTCAACAATACGCAGGTGGGCGATTTTCGAGCGACACAATTTCAATTTACCGCGCCCGTCTTTCAGCGTGGTACAATAAACAGGCGGCTGCCTCAAGGCTCAGTTTTGCCATTCCTTGAAGACCGCCATATCACAGATGGAGGGTTTGGGTCTGTTTATCACGTAGTCTTGAACCCGGACCATCAGTCCCATGACCCAGCTGATCCTTTACAATTCCCCCAAAAGGTAGAGTAAATGGAGCCGATAGAAATATCACAGCCTTGCTAACCTAGCAATAGTTTGTTCGAAAAGAGCTCAAGACAAACGGCTCTCATGAAAGGGAGCTCGAGGTGTTAGCTATTCTAAGTACTATCAAGCACCCCAATATCATCCAGCTCCTGGGGTCCTATACGTACGATAAGAAATACCATAATCTTCTGTTTCCTTGCGCTGAACATGGGAGTCTCAAGAAGTTCATTTCTGAGGACAAGCAGTCCATGTCGGACAAAACAATTATTATTGCGCTCGCGGGGCTAGCGTCCGCCATCAAGCACTTACACAGATTCACCGACGATAAACTCAAGCTCGACCTTATCGGTTGCCACCACGACTTGAAGCCAGATAACATTCTGGTTTCTTCCAAGACTCTCCTTCTTGCGGACTTTGGGTTGTCCAAGTTGAAGGAATCCAACATTGGTTCCGAGACACCATTCCGGCCGCGAACGGATGATTATGTCGCTCCCGAGTGCGAAGATTGGGATAATGATTACTTGCCGGGTTATGTTCACCGGTATAGTGACATCTGGTCACTTGGGTGCATCTTTGCTGAAGTAGCCACGTATGTCTTACGTGGCCATCAAGGAGTCAAGGACTTTAGAGATGCTAGAATGCACAAGAGGCCAGGAGCCACCCACTTTTCGTTTCACTTGGGTGCGAACAAAGCTAGCGATGCGGTGTTAGCATGGCTTGCAAATCTGGAACAGTCTTCCCAAACTGGTATCGCTCTTCTTATCCAATTGTCTCGCAAGATGATATCTCTTGACGCGAGTGCGCGCCCGACTGCAAGCGACGTTGAGCAATGCCTTCGAATGATTGCCCTTTTTGAGGTTTCTGCGCAAATCCATAATCAGTTCAATCATATACAGCGCGCCAGCCACTCAAGACTGGACTATTACCTCGAATCCGTGCGATTCAAAGCCTGGACAGATACCACTAGACTCGCCAGCATTGCAACTATCTCAGATCTGTTGTCAGAAACTTACGAGAGTATTAACAAGCTATTTGACACTATCCTTGGAACACTCACTCGCATGCAGCATCAACTAGAATCAGCTTTGGCTCTGGCAAGCAGTAGGCCCATGACCAATGCTGATATATTGAACGTAGCCGACCTCAATGACGAGCTTGCTTTGCTTCTCGGCGACAAAGAGAATGATTCCCGAGAGCGCGTGAAGATCATTATTTTCAAGGATGAGGTAGAATTATCCGACCTATCCGAACCCGGCGATGGATTGGATGGCTTGTCGCTCCCCGACAACATTCGCATGCGAAGTAATATCAAGAATATGAGAAAGTTCTACGAAGAGGACTCGTTTATTGATACAAAAGGCCTGAGGATTGAACCCACCAAAGTAGGAGGCCTTCGCTCTATCGGTGACCATTACTTGGGAAACATGAAGACAGATATCGTGTCTGAAAAGGTTTGGGTTGAACTGCGCCATTATGGGCGCCATGGCACGGACAAGAACACCATGGAACACCTCTACGAACGGACGGTTAGACTGTGTGCGCTTTTAGCCCTCCCTGAATTCTGTGCCCTAAAGTGTAAGGGGCTCGTTCACCTCTACGATAAACAGGCGTTTGGAATCGTTTTCGAGTTCCCTCAAAAGGTTAAAGGTGGTGGTATTCCTTTCGATCCTATTAATCTACAAACACTTCTCAAAAAAAAGGGAGAAAGTACCGATTCATATTTTCCAGACCTTGATGATCGCTTCAAGCTGGCCTACACGCTGGCCGCCGCACTATTTGAGTTTCATACTCTGGGTTGGCTTCACCGGAACTTAAGTCCATTAAACCTAATATTCCTCCCCGAAAACGATGGCACTCCAACGACTCAGCTGATACGGTCCCCTTGGCTGGTGGGATTCGGGCACAGCCGCCCCAATTCCCCCGTGGACTTTACCTCAGGCGCACCGGACAGCGCATCTGGAAGGTATCAACACCCCGTGTATATGGACGAAAAGAAAGGATATCGTGCCGAGTATGACTACTACAGCTTAGGAATGATCCTCCTCGAGATTGGCTATTGGAAACCCTTAGAAAAGCTGACAGAAGGGTGGCAAGGTTCATACGAGGAAAGGCGCCAGAAACTTCTTAGAAATAAAGGCAAAGTTGCCCACCTCAGTAAGATGATGGGAAGACAGTATACTGAGGTTGTGAGATTCTGCCTTGGCTACGATGTGCAAAGCGAGAAAAGTGTAGGAGATGTGGTGTCGCAGTTTTACCAGTCGGTCGTCGCGCCACTCAGGGGTTTATCCCAATTAACTAAACCGTAGCTACGGTATATATATAAGATAGTATCCTGGTTCAGGACTCTGCAATATAATAGTAGTAATAACTAAAAGAAGGAAGATAATTTTCAATATATTGAGAGCCGGCTGGATAACCCTCTCAAAGACGGGCTGCAGCTGCAGCCCTGACTTCCCTATCTCTCTCGAAGACAGACCCTTCCGCGGCTCTGACCTCTCTGTCTCTCTGACAGATAGCCCGTAGCTGCGGACCTGACTTCCCTGTCTCTCTCGAAGACAGACCCTTCTGCGGCTCTGACCTCTCTGTCTCTCTGACAGACAGCCCGTAGCTGCGGACCTGACTTCCCTGTCTCTCTCGAAGACAGACCCTTCCGCGGCTCTGACCTCTCTGTCTCTCTTGCGGACAGCTAGTTGCTGTGACTACGGATCCCTTATCTGGTGGGTAGATTAGTAAGAGATAGCTAGGTTATAAAAGGAACAGCTGAGCCCTACAGCTGAAAAGGGCAGACTTTACCCTTATTTTATCTTTTATTCTTAAAATATAGCTTATTTTAGCTCCTATTTCTTTTGATTAACTACGGGATTTCCTATACAATATACTATAACCCCTCTTTTAGTCTCTTATCTTGCTATTTATTATCCTAGCTAACCTAGCCCAGCTGCTATCTTTACCTAAGACTATAGCTTCTATAGCTACAGGCTAGAGAGATTTTCCTCCGGTACTTAATATATTTCCTAAAGAATATAGTTATTTATATTAATATTATAATATATATTTTTTATCTCTTATTATATTATATTTTATTATAAAGATTAAGTATTATATAGAATAATATTATATTATATAGAATAATATTATATTATATAGAATAATATTATATTATATAGAATAATATTATATTATTTAATTAGTATATAATAACTTATAATTAGCTATTATATTTTTATCTAAAAACTCTAGTAATTATATATTAATTTATTATAAAGCTAATATTATTATATAATATAACTAATAGAGTATAAATAGATAATAGATTTAAATAAATCTATATTTAAAAAATCTCTATAGTAAATCTATACTATACTTATAGATATAAGATTAACTAATAACTAATATAACTAACTTTCTAATTCCTAAATATCTATATTTTAGATTAAACTAAAATAAACTCTAATATACTCTAATTTAAATCTAAACTATTCTATAATAAAAAAAGCTTAAATATAACTAACTTTTAAAAGCTTTAATTAATATAAAGTAGTATAGAATATATTAGAACTATATAGAATATTTTATATTATAATATATATCTATAAGTAGATAGCTATTAATAAGATATAACTTCTTCTCTAACTATCTTTTATCTGCTTTAAGTACCTCTAGTATATAGTAATTACTAGCTATATATAAAGCTAGACCTAGTAGATATAGCTACTAGATCTAGACTATTAAAAGCAGCTTTATTATTATAAGTAAGCTCTTAATTATCTAAAGAGATATATATTTAATATATTTAGTAAAGAGCTATATACTATTTATTCTAATAATCTCTATTATCTTATTAAGACTGCTATTATCTATTATAATAAAAGCTATATAAGTAGAGATAGCTATATAGATAGCTATCTTATAGTTAGTAGTAAGAAGATATAATTAATTAATTAATTATTTAATAGAGTAATTAAGTAGTTAATATTAAGATATAATTAATTAATTAATTAATATAAGCTTTAAGAGAGAAAAGATAGTTATTATTATTAGATAATAGCTTCTCCTCTTAGGGGTTATAACCAGGTTTTTATATCTAGCTATTAAATAACTCCTATTAGTAAAGTTTTTTCTAAGATTAATATTTATACTTAGACTAAAAGTATAATATTTAGACTTTTCCTTATAGTATTAAAGGTTTAGATATAAACTACTAATTATATTTTTAATAAAAATTTTATATTTAAAATATTAGATTAAAATTAGCTTTAAAACTTAAAATCTTTTTTTATTTAAAATATTTAAAAAAAAGCTTTAAAAAATCTATTAAAAAATCTAATATTTAAAACTTCTTTTCTTTTTATTATAGGATTTTTCCTTAATTAAATATTTTTATTTTAAGATAATAGTTCTTAATTTAATTAGATATTTTTTTTTTTTTTTAGAGTTATTACTATATATAAGGGAGATATTCCGAGATCAGGCTATATATAACGAGATCTATATAACTTGTTTTTTTACTTATTTATAGTCCGTACCCAACCTTTAACTCTATTCCTTATACTTTACTTCTTATACAAGCTATAGCAAGGTAACAGCTTTATCAAAAAACTCTAACAAGGCCTTGCCAAGTATATAACTTGGCTATAGGCCCCAAGGGGGGGATGCTCATCAACCATAATCAACCAGAGAAAAGTTAATCTACTGGCATCAGTTTCACGACATATTAGTAGTCACCAGAGTTTATAAATGAAAACGTAATAGCCAATCACAAGTTGCCATATACTGATTAAATAATATAACATAGTTCCACATAATATTAATTAGATATAGTATTAAATTATATTATAAAAAACTAATTAATCTAGATATTCTATAGAAAATAAGTTTATAATATTTACTAATTAGTTTCTTTTTCTTTTAATATATAATTAGAATTAGAGATAGGAATTTTAAATAATTTATTATAATTATATAATAAGTATACTTTTTAATTAAAAATAGTAAAATAACTCTTATTCTATATTTATATTTCTTATTATAATCTATTCTATAAAATCTCTTATATTTAAACTATTATAATAATAATACTTTTAATATACTCTAAAGATTAAAATATTATTAAAATTAAATTAAAAAAGAGATAGAAGCTAATCTTTAAA